GCATCATATTTTATTATTTTATTCAAAAAGTAATGACAATCTCCTTTTGTTTGAAGCAAATAAATTAATTGAATCATCATTTGTTGATTAAAAAAAATGTTAGATACTTGTTAAATACAAGGATTGTCGAATAGTCACTGAATACCCAAGATCAGCTTTATGTAAAATAACTTCCAATTTTGTAAGGGACCCGAAAATCTCAGGGGGGGGCAATGGCCCCCTCTGGCCCCCCCATCCGGGCGTCCCTGATGTAAAGGGTCTGACGATTTTGATCATAACGATTATATCATTGATCGATACATTGTGCTTAATTTTGACATACGGTACAATAATTATCTAGATAAAATTTTGCCCAACTCTGCTTTGGTACAACAAAAACATTGTATACATGGCCAAAACGACGGGCTCTCTCGGACATACAGGCCCCGGGGGTCTAGTCCTTCCTGTCCCACCCTCTCGCCAGCCCTGCCTGTGTTACAAGCATGTTAACAACTAAAATTTCATATTAATTGCAAAAAACAAATTTTGTTACTATGTAAGCAGATGAAACGACAGACGTATCTTGTAAATATCAAATCTCAAATCATATTTAGGTATGTTATCAATAGCAAAATTGCAGGGAGATTTATACGATTTTTTGTTGTATCTAAAGATAAATCAGCTTCTGATTTATCTGACATTTTATTGAATAAAATAAAAACTTGGGATATTAGTTATAAACTCGTGTGCCAAACATATGATGGAGCATCAGTTATAGCAGGACAAAATAGAGACGGCCAAGCGATCATTAAAGAGACATATCCAAAAGCAATGTTTATACACTGTTATGCCAATCTTAACCTTAACCTAGTGTTTCTACTTGAATCAAAAGTGATAAAATCTGTTCGAATGTTCATAGGTGATCTTACACATTTCTTTTTTTCACACATTTTTTAGTATGTCACTTAAAATAAGTCAATTTTTGAGAGAAAAAGGGTTTAAACTTCCTCAAAATGGTGAAACGTGGTGTAATTATCACTCTAAAGTAGTTATCGAACTGCTAACTTTAACCATCCATTTTATGGAATTGAAAAAAGGGATAACTTGTGTTACGGAAGAAGACGAATGGTACCCAAAAACTACAAGTATAGCATTTGGATTATTACAAAAGCTATCAAATTATAAATTTGTCAATTTACTATGTTTTTTCAAGAAATTATTTTTGTACTCAGTCCTTGTATTTTTAATACTCCAAACAAAATGTACTGCAGATATACAATGTTATGTGAATGAAATAAAAACATTTTATAATTAATTGACTGCGATGAGAAGCGAGGAAACTGTGTTAATGTGTGATGAATCAGCGACAGAGTTGAATAGTGAACTACAATATTCTGAACAAAATGAAATTCAGCTCAGAAATCTAACTTATGAAATACTATATTCTTTAATAGTCCAGATAGAAGTTCGATTTCAAGATTTTGAAAGCTGACTTTGATTGTGTAATTCTGTAACTTATTTCCATGATTTAGCTGCTTTGGTTAATTGAGCTGCCTAAGTATTTAAAATATTTCACTTTTTCAAACAGCCGATTTCCTGCTTGGATATTAATTCTATAGATTCAGTCTAACTTTTAGCAATCTTAATCATTGTTAGTTATTGGATACCTACCTATAAATAATACTATTATAAAAATCAATGAAGTTATTTTGAATATTTAATAAATTTATTTATTAATAAAAGGAAAAAATATTATTATTTACAATTATTAAAAAAAAAAGTTATATTATAGGATATACACTTTCCTAAGTATTAAATTTTAAATTTATTATGAAGTAGCAGAGGCATATACAGAAAATATTTTCGGGAGGGCTACTATGGAAATGGTTAAATTACCACTACTATCTAAGAATTACTAACAAGACACAGTATGTACTTATTTACATTTCATTTACAGAATATCCCAAAACGATTTAATGTTGGACGCAAATTCTAAATAAGCATAAAGCACTAATAAAATATAACATACGTTTAAAATTATTTTTAAGTTTTTTAAAACATTTCAAGGTTCTAACCTACTAGGCTTTCCCTATATACGCCACTGTGAAGTAGATATAGAAAGAGAGGGTTGATACTGCTTAGTTCAGATTAATAAAAATAATAAAATATATTATATTAATTTATCGATTAAATATAAATAATCAAAAATAACGTTTTCATGTTTCGTTGCTTTATAAAAATGTTCACATCTCCCCTGAAATTTTATCATGCCTCCCTAGAGGGTGCGCCCCACTGGTTCTAGTAAAAAAATATATTGACGTAATATTATATAGGTTTGATCCAGCGACACGGTATTGTCGCGAGCTAAGTAAAAAAAAAAAGAAGGCAGCACTCGACCGTGTATATATACAGAAACCCAAACATTCCCATTTAATACGTGTTAATATTTTGGTATTCTTTATTAAAGGCTGTAAGCCTAATAAATGGACCAAATCGTTAGAATGAGGTATTAATCGACCGAAAAAATCATAGGCTACGTGCTTTTATAATTTTCAACGGAATCGGTTGAATAATATTTTAGTTATAAGCAAAAAACTGTGGATATTTAAGTGATCAATTTTTATTACTTTTGCCACCGTCTGCTGTATTAAACGCGTCTTGTGGTCGAGGCGGGTGATGGGGATTCTTGCGACGGCGGCGTACTTCTCCCACTACTATTGCATTCCCCCATCGCTAGACATATACAACACACTAACACTATAGGACATAGTTCACTATCGGTGCATAATCAGTGCATTTTCCGTTTCCATATTTTCGTATTGCGTTCGAAGTTCGTGCTTGTTGTGTTTTGTCCATAATGTAGAATAAAGATAACCTGACCCACATTATTCAATGCACGTGGTATCAAAGATATTATAGCCACCAGTCGCCCATCATCCAGCATTTTATTATTATTATTATTATTATTGTTTGTTGTTGTTATTATTATTGTTGTTGTTGTTGTTATTATAATTATTATTATTATATTAATTAATAATAGTGCAACACGTAGCCATTAATTACATTTTTCGTCTCGCATTCGGCGTGACTTGTCGTGTTTTGTCCACATTATTAATGGTAATTAAACTTCAAAAGACGCGAGCTTTGGGAATAAAAAATATCAGGAGTCTACTCATTCTAAGTATGTGGTCGAAAGTAGTTATTGTACTATTATCGAACCGAGCAGTATTAACACAGTACAAGAAGTAGTAAAAAAAACAGTAAAAAGAAAAAAGCCAAAATCGAAACAGTTATTTCCATTTTATGTAAATATTGAAAAATGTACCAATAGATTAATTGGTAAATTAAAAATGCCTCTGGTTAAAGGTAGGTGTATTGCTAATAGACTAATAAAATGGATGTTGAACTATAGGAAACACAATATAATGTTGTGCAAAACTTTTAAACATCTTAAAAAAATTATAAATAAGAAAATTAATCATTCTGTGGTAGTTTTAAATGATCAATTAGATTACCTATTACTAAGATTTATTTTAGGTGAATCTCGCCACTCTAAATAAACGGAATCTTTTTATTGTGATACTATATTACCTATCACGTTTAATAAAACATTAGAAGTTAATGACGAAGGTAAAATTATGAATTTAAGATGTAAAGATACATCTGTACAGTTGGATTGGTGGCCTCGTAGTGCAAAAGATTTTACATAATAATAATTAAAAAAAAATGAAAAATATTAATAATATAATAATATATTAGTATATTATTAAATATGTTGATTTATAAAAACTAATGATATCCCAACAAAAACACTCCGTCAACTCCGTGTAAAAAAAACGCTAAGTAAAAAAAAAAATGCTATAAAATGTGTGATATAGGGTGGAATCTAAGTAAATGGTCTAACGTGTAAAATATACATATCAGTAATTAATTCAAAATTAATAAAATTTGGTTATTTGTGTTATTAATTTATAATATGATTTATTTTAACTAAAATTTATCTAAATTTAGTTTACTTGGTCGGAAGATTCAATCTAAAAAATGTATAGCCAAGTACTAAGTTTATGTAATAGATAATGTAGGTCTCATTCAAATAAATAAAATTGTTTCCGGCCAAGTAAACTAAATTTAGATGAATTTTAGTTAAAATAAATCATATTATAAATTAATAATACAAATAACCAAATTTTATTTATTTTGAATTAATTATTGATACCTATGTACATTTTACACATTAGACCATTTACTTAGATTCCACCCAATATCACATATTTTATAGCATTTTTTTTTTTTTTACTTAGCGTTTTTTTACACGGAGTTGACGGAGTGCTTTTGTTGGGATTATCATATACATTGCTTTGAAAATATTTCCATGTTGATGTGGCTTATCTATTATCAACTTTATTCATTATCATTTTTTATTCCGTCGTACACAAATATTTTTAATTAATTATAATAAGTTATTTCTGAATTTTCGCATTGTTTCATTTCCCTGTAAAAGGTAAGTGTTGTATTTATCGTCTAAAATTTCGTTTTATTATTTTAGAAACATCATCAAAGCGATAAACATCAGCGATTGTTGACTATGTAACCGAGACTCCTTGACAATATTTTTAAAATACAATTTTCCAATATCGTTTCGCTTAATAGTTGTGTAAAATTCTAACGATTTATCTTTGCACGTGAAGGTAATTTTTGTGTTATACTACTCGCACACACACGCACACACATTATTATTCAGTATTTTAATAATGATCCGCATCGCTTGTGACCTGACCTCAATTATGATATAAATAATTAATGTCGTAACTGGGTTGTTTAGGTGCGTATAAAATTAGCCGAGAAAAAATAATATATTTTCGAAAACACCTTTCGCGTATCCCTCTCTCTCTGACATCTGCTGCAATGCGAGGTTCCCGGTACCGTCCGACTTGTTTAGGTGATGATGTAATTCATATTCGACATCAACTGGTTTCTAATTTGAACGTCATCGTGTACACTCCTTCCCATCATCAAAACACTTTAAAAAGTTTCCCCGCTAGATTTCGAAGAATCTTCGTTTTACCATAGTACTAATGATTATTGTAGCTGTTGGACACCGTAGTTTACCGCAGTTCCATGTATCAGTTTTAGTTATCTAATTTGTGTTGCTAAATTAGCATGTCCTATGAGTCTTACCACTCCAACCATCATGAATTTATAAACCGGTTTTTTAATTTGGACTATCCATGGAATTTCACTTTCGTGTTATCAATTTATAATTATATTATCTCTTACGGTTGTTTGATTTTCTAAATAGGTTCACGCTTTCATTCGACCATAAAACATTACGTGCCAGTCATTATTTATTTTGTATTTAGTCATTATAAAATATTTATCTAATTATAATCATCTAAGTTGGTCTATTGTTATTCAATGCTCGTTTTCGAATAACTACAATTTATACTTTATTCCTGTCGTAAGAACGCTACAATCTATCATTGATGTGTTTACTTATACTAACGTATTAGTTTTATTGTGATTTTTCTTTTTTTTTTAGTAAGTTTTTTATTACAATTGGTCGAAAAAAATAACTGTATTCAGCATAATGGCGTACCAGACCGTAAAAAGTTTTTATAAAAACAAAAATATATTTTTAACTGGAGGTTCTGGTTTTGTCGGCATTTCATACATAGAAAAAGTACTCAGAAGCATTCCAGATATTGGAAGTATATATATTATACTTCGACCACGTAAAGGACAAAGCATCCAAGAAAGATTGGAAATTTTGAAAAACAACTCGGTAAAATCATATACGTATAGTCATATATTGACTTCAATTGTTTTTATCTTAAATAACATTATTTTTTATTATTATTTTATTAGGTATTTGATAAATTAAAAACTGATGATGGTTTCGATGTGTTGATTAATAAAATAAAACCAGTATGTGGAGATATATCCGAAGAAAAGTTAGGACTATCAGATGAAGATTATAAAATGTTGTGTGAAAATGTTAACATAGTAGTTCATTGTGCTGCTACATTAGATTTTGAAACTGATCTTAAAACCGCTGTAATCATCAACTTAATGGGTACTAAAAGAATTGTAGAGTTGTGTAAACAAATTAAAAATTTACAAGTATGTATGATTTATTATGAATTAATGGATTAATTGTTTAATTCAAAATTTTAAATTACTTTAATTAATCAAGTATCTTTTTATTTGTTGTAAGTGTTTACTACATGTGTCTAGTGCATATGTCAATAGTAATAAAAAATATGCGATGGAAAAAATTTATGATGCACCAGCTAATTACAATGATATCATAAATTATGTTCAAACTATGGACGCTGACAAATTAAATGATGCTACCGAAAAGTTAGTTGGCTTCTTTATATCTTTAAAACTTATTTAAATGTCTGGTTTCAGTATGAATTCAAAAAACTGTTATTAAATGTTCATAATTTCTATTTAATTTATTTTTACTACTAAAATAATAAACATATATATTTTACTTGTAGGATCTTGGGAGATCACATAAATACATACACATTTACCAAAGCTTTAGCAGAACATGTCGTAAATGATGCTCGAAATACTATTCCAACCTGTATAGTACGACCAAGCATGAGTATGTAAAATATGCATTTAAGTTTAAATTGGTTTTAACATGATTATTTAAAATATAATCTTTAAGTCATCTTTAGATTATTACTTAAAAATAGTTAATCAACTATAATAATGTTTTGTAATTTAATTTAGCTACTAATAAAAATTAGCAATTTAAATTTTAAATTTATTACATAAAAATAAACCAAAATAATTATTGTATAATATTTCTATTTTTTAACCATATAAGATAAAAGTATATTAATAACTTATTATTTTAAAAATTGTAAATTATAGTAACTCTGTGTATCAATATTTTTATTAACTAAAAATTAACTCCAAAAAGGTAATTGATCCATTTTTATTTTGCAAATTAGCAAGTAATCAGAAATTAAAAACTAATTTTATAATTTATAGTAGTAAAATAAAACATTTCATGAACAATATAATTAGAAAATATTGGGTGTTTTTAAGAAAGTCTAACATCTTATATCACAGCATGATTAAAAATATATAATTCTTTACCTATTTTTGTAATATACATTTTTTTTCACAATTTCTATACTTCATAATTAAATTATGAGTAGATACATTTTAAGATTTTACAAAAATATCTTTAAAATTAAACGAAATTATTTTCCATCCACCTATCTTAAGCTCCGAATAAGTTTTAAATATTAAATATCAATGTATAAATAACAATCTATTTTAAAGTTGTTGCTGCCTGGAAGGAACCTATTGAAGGTTGGACAATATCAAAAAATGGACCTCAAGGCTTCATAATGGGTGCATCTAAAGGAGTAGTTAGACGTTTACCAGTTAACCAGTCTTTGATATATGATTATATACCTGTAGATGTGGTGATCAATACAATAATTGCTAGTACATGGTTTAGTGCTCAGTTCCCCAATAAGTAAATGCAAATTTCAATATAATTTCAAATTTTAAATCAGTATCATATTATAATATATTTTACTCTTAATAGCTCATTGACATTTTTATATTTTTTTCTTACATTATTTAACTTTTTTAATTTCCTATAAATTATATTTTAATTGTTATGACATTTTTTTATAGTGCACCTATCGTGGATGGACAAACTCCTGTATTTCATTGTACAACTAGTACATGTAATCCATTTCATTGGAAAGCTGTAAAGCCCGTGTTATCAAATACTTTGCATAGTTTTCCTATACGTGGAGCTGTTTGGTATCCAAATATTAAGTTTTTGCCAAATTTATATATGTATTGGATTTCATCTGCTATATTTCATTTCATTCCGGGTTACATATTAGATTTTGTTACCAAAATCTCGGGTGGTAGACCAATGTGAGTATTCGATTTATACAATTATTAAAAATATAATTTTCTAAGTAGAAGTTTTATTTATTATATATTTAAAAGAGCATTTTTCAAAATTATTGTCCTAATGTAATTTTAATATTTAACAGCCTTATACGGTTACATACAAATGTTAATCGATCACTTAGTAAACTTGCTCCTTTTATATTTAACGAGTGGAAATTTGATAATGCTCGTACACTTAGTTTACAAGAAGAGTTAAGTGTTGATGATCGATCTGTATTCTATATTGATCCTTCATCTTTAAAGTGGATTCCATATTTTACCAATCTTACATTAGGTGTACGTAAATATTTACACAAAGAAAGTGATAAAACATTAAAACAGGCATTGAAAAAGGATTTTCTGTGAGTACTTATATGATTTAATTTTATGTTTAATTTAATATTTGTTTAATATATTTTACAGTTTAATGTTTGCAAACATCAGTGTACAATTGTTTGTTGTTATCTTTATTTGGTATTTATCTTCATTTATCACTGGAACATCATTTTTATCAAACTATTGGGCTGCAATAATTGTTCTCATAATTGGATACATTTTTTAAATTCTTTAATTACATTCGAATAGAAGATTTTTAATTTTTTGTTTAATTCTTATGGGTTATGGTTTGCTATTTATTATTTTTGTCAGTAAACAAAAAATTTATTATGTCTAATTTTTCATTATTAAATTATAATATTATAATTATAAAAATTTATAGTTAAATCTTACAAATACTAAAAAATAATAATTTATTTAATAATTTACAGTATTATTATTATAATTTCATACTTTTTTTTTGTATAATTTATTATTTTTTATCATTCATATTTAATTAAGGAATTAAGATATTTATTTTAAATTGTGAAAATAAAATAAATATAATTTATTTGAAAAAGAAAATAATGTTTGTACTTATATTTTTTAACAGTTTATAAAATATAAATGTTATAGTAATATTAATAATATATTTTTAAGGTATTAATATTTTTACTTCATCAATTAAATATAATTTTTTTTAGGTACCAATCAAAATAATTATTTATTCATTTTTAAATTATTATTTTTTATATTATAACTTAGATAAATTCTAATATGTAGTTTGAAAACACATAGAAATAATAAATTAGTTTGAGCTTATTGATATTCAATTCAGTTTTAATTATGATTTAAAATTAAATCAAATACAATTTTATTTCATTTATATATACTACCAAGAAGTAGACAACATAATTCAAACAAATTATATAATAAATAAACCATTTATATCACAAAATTATAAAAGTTTGTTATACAATTGAATTGAATTTAACTTATTAAATTTGTATTTTTACAAAAGTGTTATCAACTTTATCACAGTCTTCTGGATACAATTCAAATCAATCCAGTTATTTTATATGAATGCAAGTAGTCAAATAACAATGATAATAATGTAAATATATAATACATTTTATATATTACTATATAAATTAATTAAGATTAAGTATTGTTATGATAATTCATATGAGTACATATTTTGTATATTTGTATGAGTTTACATTTAAAAATAACAATAATTTATATTTTCATTAACAAAAATCAATATATTTCTACAAAAAAATGAAATTATATTAATATTTTAAAAATCAAGTAAAACATGTCTTGAGTCAAGTTCATCATATAGAATATTAAAATTGTACCGCAATTTTAATTTCACCATGGCAGGTTATAAATTAAAATATTCATCATTTTTGTCAGTGTTTTCTAACTTTTGTATTGCATACTCGATATCAGAATGAATAGTATTGACAAGTTCTTCTACAAAAAGAAAAAATTGTTATTTGCAGTTAAATTCAATTTTACAAATATATCTGATTTTAATATAATAAATTAAGCTTACCCACAGAATTAAAGTTTAATTCTGGTCGAATAAATCCAACAACCTTAATTTTTATATTAGATCCATAAAAATCGTTATCAAATTTATTGAGAATATGAATTTCCTATGAAAAAAAAAAATTAAAAAAAAATCAAATGTAGTTTTCCAATTCAATATTGGCTTAAAATAGTTTTATATGGATTAAATTAATTTGTAAGATACCTCATATTATTTTTCTAAATACATAATATATAAATGTATATCAATTTACAATATTTCAAATAACAGTTAAAACTAACTAAAAATTTAACCTACCATAGACTTTTCAGTATTGTTATAAAATGGATTCCAGCCAATACTCATAACCATCATGTAAATCTCAGAATTTTCAACTTGTGCCCATCCAAAATATACTCCAGTGCCAACATTTTCAGGTAAATTTTTTATAACATCACTACTAAAATTGGCTGTAAAAACCAATAAGTTATTCATAATATAATTTGTTAAAAAATACACATATAAATAAGAATTAAATGAACTGGTGTCAATATTTTTAACTCTGATAACCAAAGAAATTTATTACAAATTAATTATTCATCAAATTACATTTTATGTAATGTATGTATTAATAATTTATTTATACAACTTATATAACAAATTAATAAAGAATATTATTGATTATTTGGTATCCAATTTATGAAATGATTTAAAACTTTACTAACTAGTATATATTTGTATCAAATTTAATGAAGTTCTACTGATCAACTGAATATGTTTAATGGATATCAAATTCTGAGCCACATATATTTTTAATACTAACCAGTAGGAATACCCAAATCTTTTGATCCTCGACCGAATCCTTTGACAACTAAACCACTAGCATAAAATGGCAATGCATTATTAGCTGTCTGTTCAATATCACTCATGGTTTGCAAGTGAATGTAATAAATATTTCTCAATTAAATACTAATTAAATAAAACTATAAAATAATACTATTTAAATAATATAACAGAATAAAAATAAATTTACAATTGAAATTGCAATCAATTACGTAACTAAAATTTTAACAAAGGAAATTGTATTGATTAAAATTAAGATAAATCAACTATATAGTAACTTAATAACCAATTATAACTATGGTGATAATCACATAGTTATTGGGACATTTTCCTACTATTTTTTATCTCCGTAAATACACATATTTTTACATTTACTACTATAATAATTATTTAAACAAAAATGTAGTACCATAAGAAGATAAAACTATAGTCAAAGGCCATCAATTTACAATAGTACTGCGACCCGAGAGATAACGTGAAAATAACAATAATAAGTGATAAGAAAAATAATTGCTATCAACTATTTTGTTATGTTTTTTATTTGAAATATGATAATTTGTTAAATATTATAATATTAATCTTTTTTTAATTTTAAATGTTTTTATGTAATGTGTTATACTTAGGAAAATGTTGAGATTTGCTCACCAATCTTCTTAGACTAGTATTAATTTTGTGTATTGCATATTTAAAAAAGTGCTTCCATTTTCAATCATGACCATTGCAATTTTGGGTGGTGGTCTCGCTGGTCTAAGTGCTGCATATTATCTGAAATGCGAAGGTGGAATCAAACAGAATCAGTCAATAAAAATTATTGAAGCTGACAGTACAACAGGTGGCTGGATCCAATCTTGGAAGGATCAGAATACTAACGCTATAATTGAGCTTGGTCCACGAACAATCAGAGGTGGGGGCAAAACAGCCAACAATACATTTAGCTTAATAAAAGATTTAGGTATCGAAGAGTTAGTGCATAATGTAGGTATAGAAGCTTCTGCCAGGTACATATATGCTAATGGAGGTATTCATCAATTACCAATGAGTGCCTGGAAAGCCCTGTTTTCAGTGAATCAACCGTTTACCAAACCATGGATTTACTACGTGTTACGTGAAAGTTTTCAATCAAATAAAAATAATATTAAACCAGTAGAAGTTGAAGAAAATAATGATGAGAGTGCTTATGATTTCTTTAGTCGGACGTTTGGACAAGAATTTGCTGACTATTTAGTTTCACCGCTATTATGTGGTATTTGTGGTGGAAATGCCAAACAAATCAGTGTTAAGTTTATGTTTAATGCCTTATACGAAGCAGAGCGTAAACATGGATCCGTTGGATTAGGATTATTAAAGGAAAAAATAATTTCTTTTTTGAATCGAGAAAAAGTAAAAAATTCAGAGCAGTTAATGAAACCTCCGCCAAGTGTTTATTATTTAGAAGGAGGACTAAAACGTTTAATATATGCATTACATATAAAAAATGAATCTCAAGGAGTTGATATTAATGTGAATACTCAATGTACAAAACTAAATTTTCACAAAAATGGTAAAGGTGCTACAATTTTATTATCTAATGGTCAACAATTGGAATGTTCACATATAATTAGTGCAATACCTGCGTATAAATTAGCTACATTATTACTAGATAATCCTCAACATACAATCTTAACTCAATTATTAGATTCCATACCTATGGTATCAATTGTAACTGTAAATCTAACATTTGATGATCCAAATGTAATGGGTCCTTACAAAGGCTTTGGAGTACTGGCTTCACCACTTGAAAAATTGTCGTTATTGGGTATAATATTTAATAATTATATCTACGGACATAGTGATCATGTGGATCTTACAGTCATGATGGGTGGATATGCATTTGAAAAACATTTTGTAAATAACTCCAAATGTTTATCTGAAGAAGAATTAACAGATATAGCAATAAATCATGTCAAACGTGTTCTCAATATTCAAACAATACCTAAAACATGCAATACACGCATATTACATAATTGCATCCCACAATATACAGTTGGACACTATGAACGGGTAGCAAAAATTCAAAAATATTTAACTAATAAGCGTTTACCAATGACACTTGTTGGTTCATCATATGCTGGAGTCAGCATTAATGATGTTATATATGCATCAATGACTGCAATGCGAAAATTGTGTAAGCGATAACAATTCAAATTAAATATATTTTTAATTATTTGAATAATAGATATTAAAAATGTACTGTTTAGCATTATACAATGATTGTTAGTTTTTTTTTTTTACAGTATTAAATTTTTGTTTAAATAAACTTATTATTTCAATTTTTAAATTATTTTTATTCTTGTTTCAGATGTATAGTATATAGAAAAATTAAAAATATATATATCTGTTATTGAAAATACAATTTTAAAACTACATTTTTACTTTACAAACTATTTTTGAATAATCTAATGAACTTTATTTTGTAAGATTAAGAGAAGTCAAGATATAACAAATTTTTGGCATTGAAAATATTTTAGAATCTATTGCTGAATTTTGTTTTTTACTTTTTCATAAAATGATTTGGTTGATTAATTTATATCTATCAATTATACGGTATTTCTGTACGTGCATTAATTTGAAGTAGGTACACACAAATGGGTTTTATATGTGACACTGATTATTGAATTAAGTTTTATCCTTATAATACCTCAAACCTAAATAAAAATAGTTTTAAAATACTTAAATATTTAATTATTTTAACATAATGTTTAAAAACAATCCAGGCTGAAACTGTTAACTAAAATTATATGTGATACTTTGACAATTTTCCTATAAAACTATAGAAATATTGATAGTACATGTACACACATATCATTGTTATTAGTCATAGGACTAACATAATAGGCACTATTTAAAAAAATATTACTCTTTTACTATATAAATTAATTTAGTTATTTAAATAATTGTCGTTAACAGATGGCTTTTGTTATATTCTTGTAAAAACATTTTTTAAAAAACAGGTTATTATAAATTGGTACATAACAAATGCCTAAACTAATATGTTTATATAGGTTTGTTAATATATATTTTACAGTAATACTGTTTTCCATTATAATTCAAATATGTTCAAAAACAATGAATGTTTTATGTTAAACAAGAGCATTGCCCATATTTTTCAGAATGTTTTTTCATTGCAATTATCTTCATATATGAAACATCCATATAAAAGTCTATGTTGTTTATGATTTTAAAATATTGCACTGAAAGTTTTTGTTTTGTAAAAATATTAAGTGGATAATATAAAATATATTGTGAAATTTCATTGGACTTATCAAGATGAAATTGAATACAACACTTCTAATATGTTTATTTTTTTCATCAATAATTGCCATTAAGGTAAATATCTTGAATATAATACAATAAGTTATCTTTAAACTCTAAAAAATGCCATACGACCAATTACCTATTGTCTTAAACAGGGTTTAAAGTGGCAAAAAAAGCAGAGGGACTCTAATTCATATATCATTCTCAATGTTCCATATAGTTCTATGAAATTACTACGTTATTAACTATAAATAGGTTTATATATGTTATGAGATGTTGTTAGAGAATAATTTCCTCCACAAACTATTCATATGCTGTGAAAATGCACAAACTTGTAAATTATTTTAAATAACTGATTGTAAATATATTTTAATGAAAATAAAAGAAATTAAAAAAAACGAATTTATAATTATATATTGCTATAATTTATAATTTATATTTAATATTAGTTAGTTTTGTTTGTAGAACACTGTTTAACACCTAGTGATATCAATTAAAATGCAAAGCCAATTTTTCAACTGCTTTATTGTGTATGATTATTTTTATCAAACAGTTGAATGTTTCAGTAAACTTTTCGGAGAAATATTAAAGGGGACACTTTATAAGTATCGTGAAAGGTAAGGGGACTGAGTCTTGCTTTCCTCCCACTTTAAGCCCGGGTCCTAAATCACTAACTATATTCACATAACATACATCAGCGATCATCCTCGTATTTTTAAATGAAAAAAAAATAAACATTTTTAACAAAAATATTTCTAAAACGTGCAAGGGTATAATTAGGTACTCGTATACTCCTAATATCTATCTGATTTTCAAATTACATTTTCTAAAAATATTTACTAATTCACATATTTAACAAATTATATATATATACATGATACTATAATAGGTATCTTTTGTGTTTATATAAAAAAAAATTAATGTAAGTATAGATACATATAATTTATAAGTTAATAATTTTTAATATATTAAAAATAAACATAAATATTATACTGTAATATCTACAAATTTTACTGAATAGTCGTCATAAATCATTCAAGAATTTATGGAGGTAGGTAGTATATTAAATATCTAAGATAAGTTACAACAGTATAAAAATATATAAATTTTATTTATTTTATTAAAACACTTATTTAAGACAAAGCAATTAATTTTGAGATGATACTGTCAGTTTTAGTGATCAATGTTTCATGATAGATATGTTTTATTTAAGTCAACCTAATTGGCCTTTTGCATAATACGTTAATAATAAAAATGTTATTTTAATATTTTACCATTTTTTTTGAGTTAATTATCAGTGTTTGGAAAGAACATCATTTGTACGTTCATACATTGTGAACGACACGCGACCATCACTCCTTTTTTTCAAATATAACATAAATGTGAACGACGTATATATTTTTAATGAATTTGAACGATTTTTAGGGTGTTCAAATGTATTTATCATTTTAAAAATAAAAGTGAACTATACGTAATACATTTTGTTAAGATCCCATTTACATAGAATGCTGGTAAGTGATTCATAAGTATAAAATAAATAATTTAAATTAACGCGTTCATATTTTTATAGAACATGAACGGGAACGAGTTCCATTTTTACGTACTGAACGTAAACGAGTTAAATTTTTTTAAGTAAACGTTCCAAAAACTGATAATAATATATATGAAATTAATTTTGAAACAATATAAGTACCTATATACAGGGCCGGTGAAAACTTTTAAGAGCCCCTGGACTGATCGGTTCCAGGCCCTCTTTACTTATTTGGCCAAGAGTACATACTTTAGTACAATAAAAATAATCAAATTCGAATCTCATTTATTATGACGAATGAGATACTAAAAAAAATGTTGTATTAAAGGCTGAGACGACGGGCCCTTTCGGACTTACAGGCCCCGGGGCTCTATCCCTCCCTGCCCCACCCTCTCGCCGGCCCTGCCTATATAAAAAATAAAACAAATTAGGTAATATTTTAATGATCATAAAAAATACTATTGATAATTGTACATTTTTGGTTGTAGTATTTTTATTACATTTTCTAACATTTTCTTTTAAAAAAATAGAAAAAGATAAAATTATAATAGCCAATATTTAGGTTACTTATCATTAGAACGTGAATTTTTATGTAAAGACATAATTTTATTGAATGTAAATTTCTCAATTCCGATTAAAAATAAGCACGTTTCATAACAAACTAAATAATATGAAATAAAAATATATTTTCACATATTTTAATGTAAATACATATTTTTAAATATTTCACCCATATTTACATTTTTTGTAAATATTTTTTAAATTTTCATACCTATATAGTTTTTATTTGTATTAAAATTATTATATTGGAATTAAATTAAAAAAGTTATTTCAAATCTTGATTCAGATATTGCAATCGCTATTGCACAAGCTTCTGATATTATGTAAAATAATGAACTGAATAATATATCTTCAAACATTTTTTTTGTTTCTTGGTTAAAGTAATAAAAAAATTATAAACATTAACTCTAACAATAATTAAGTCTTGTGATAGTAGAAAGTGCAGAAATCAAATAAAATAAAGTTTAAGGAGAATCCGTAGTTATAATAAAAAATAAATTATATACGTAATCGGTAATAACGGTCGTTTACAAAAAAATTAAAACTATTAGATATATTCTTATAAATAAAAATGAAAATACATCAAATGATATTAAGTAACACCATCCGACATATGTGGTATATAATATACCTCATTAACCCGGTCGACGTTGAATCACTTTGAAACCTAAACACCGTACATTAAAATTTGAAAATCTCCAAATGTATGTTGAATCCAATTGTTTCGAAGAAGACAACAATGAATAATTATTATTTGGTAATTAAAAGTTAACGTAAAATTTTTTTGTTAAATATTTCACGTTTTTTAATACATATTTTGGAAAAAATAAGAACATAAGTATTTATATATTTTGACTTTTTTATTACATAAAAATCCACGCCCTATTTATCATACTAGTAATACTTATTTTGGTTACTAAAGTTAAAAATGTAATTAAAAATAGATACACCAGTTAGTCCAAGGAATTAAGGCGTTATTTTTTTAACCATAGGAGTTTTAATAATATTTTTATTGATGTATCAAATACGGACCAATTATAGTGTTAGTTACTTGTTACTCAGTTTAAATTTAAAACTAATAATAAATTAAAAATGTTTATATGAAAAATATATCTAAATATATATCATTACCTTTCGCCATCTCGTGACAAAAACTAGTTCCCTTATTGTTGGGTAGGTATTTTTGTTTTGATTTGTTTGTATTTTTGATTCGATACCAACTGTTAATATGTATTCATCTATTGTTGTTTAACACTTCTAATATTTATACTTTATTACTTAAATTACTATAAAAGTATAGTACGGAAGTGTAATATTTTTTAAGCATTTAAAAAGTATTGAACGAAAAAATTTCTTAAAAATATTATCATAAAACCTACGAGTGTATCCCATGCCACTCAGTAGATTATATTTTGCTAATTAAAGATACAATATTCAATAAAAATTATTATTATTAAAGAATAATCCATGTTAAGGATATATACTAATGAGCTATTCAGCTTTGTTACCATTGCAATTAGTACCGATTAAACATATAGCCTTAACCTTCCTTTTAATTCGAGGTAAAAATATATGACGTGTTTTTATACACGAAATTCTATTTTAGTTTATTGATGGAATTGTTTTTAAAATGAATACTATTGACTATCTTTTTTCCGCAAATTTTTTTATGAAACAGTGGGTAAATGTCCATTTCGGAATGCAAAATATACCTATTATTGATATAGTTCTCTATTAATAATTAACTACGAGTAGACATATTACCTATATCATCTGTATAGTATAGAAATTATTAAATTCTATATTTTACTTAATACAATTTTTTGATTAGGTATGCGTATAAATATTTGACTTAATTATATGCTTTATATTGTTATAGGAACATATGTATAAATATACAAATATTAATTAATAAACACGGATAAAAAAATAATATGATTAAAAACCAAACAATTTTTTTTAAATACAGCTGTATAATATATAATTAACTTTTTAATCTTGGCTATCTCCCAATATGCGGTCTACCAAAATGGACGTGGTCCACCGTAATAATATTAAAAGTATAAATAAAAAATAAAATTAATTTATTAAGGATCCACAAAGCATAATTTCATATCTCTAAGGAAAGCATCAAAAATATTATCAGTTTTATTTAATCCTCGCCACCAATATTCGGCTAGGTACCTCTCATTTTTTTTAACGATTTTGAGTAAATAATAGTTAATAATAGTAATAGTTAAAGTAATAGTAAATAATAATGACTGGAGATTCCCAGCCATAGGTAGAACACATAACATTGGTAGACCCCATCCTATACTCATATTTATAGTTACGTAGCACACAAAACGGAGGTAGACCGCATATTGGGAGATAGCCTTCATGTTTACAATTGCCTGTAGAATAATGAATAGAATACTTTAAACAAAGTATTTAAAGCTGTTATATAATACTAAAACATTGACGCAATCTTAATTACATTTATCTAATTATCCTTATATACCTACATGTATGGATGTATACATAATAAAAATGTGTTTCAAAACGATTTTCTAATGCATTTTAACTGTAATACCACTCATGTTTCATAATGATATATTTAAAAAAATTTTTTTTATTATTTTGTTAAATAAAATAATGTAACAAATTCTCGCTATTTACTATTCGGTATAAGCAAATATTTAATAGGATTTTAATGAATATAAAGAATTTGATAATTTTAGTAGCGAAATTATTAAGATGAACATATTTAACTAATTGTATGTATTATGAAACACTATAGCACTGTCGTCTAATATATTCGATTTTAATCACTATTTATTAGCTATTATGATAACTAGGGCTCGGATTTTAAAGCATAATAAATAACAAAAAAAGCAAAAATGAAGCAAATTTATTTTTAAAAAAAACCAAAACAAAAGCATGACCAAAAATTAATATTAATTAGTTATAAAACTTATAAAACTGAATAAAAAAAATTAATTAAATTAAAAAAATAATTTACTACCTACCATGTATTTTGTAAGATTTTCTGTAGTGAAACTGTCTTTATTATCTGACAGAATGTTTTTTTACATAGAAAACGAATGCTTTACATCCACTGAAATTATCGGTACACACTTCATGCAAGAAGTTTTATTTAAATCTAACCTATGTTAATTAATTTCGTTTGATTAAATGCCATCATATTATTAATGTCTAGTAATTGTTTCCAGCCTTTGTTTTTTACAAGAACACGATTTAGTTTACCCGAAATTCCAGTTACAATATCTATATTAGCTTAATTTAACATCTTTTTTGCATCTAAGATAATATTTATACATTTTGTCAATGATTTAACTGTTTGCAGATCGATAGTCTATATGTTTAATAAATTTAACAATTAATCCGAATACAATAATAATCCAATATAACCATTTAATTCGTATTCTGGGTTTTCAAATTTGTTATTGATTAAATATTTTTTTTTTTTTATCATTATAGTATGATAAACATATAAAAATTTCACAGCTGGAATAACGGAAAAAAGCAAAAAAAATGCATTTACACAAAAAAAAAGCAAAAATAAATTGGTTTATTTGGAAACAAAAGGACGTGAACACATTTATGTTTAAAAATTATAATTCTATCTCATATATAAAAAAAGAAGCATATGCTTTAAAATCCGAGCCCTAATGATAACCTTTTAGTATTAAAATTAAATGACAACTACCATCACTTTGTTGTAAATATGGACGTCCTTACGACATTTACGGAATAAGAGATAGATGTATTGTTTTGTATCAATTAAAAAAAATCCTATTATACCGTTCTTCAAAATATTTTTCAATGATATATTCTTCTCATTATCATACATGTACGTACATTTGAGTGATCACTAGGGCTGGAATTTTGATGCAAATACATATTTTTTTCTAATTTCCCAACACGTAGGTTCGTAAGCAAAAAAATGTATTTCGAGTGATAATGATTAATTTAATGTTGTTTTTATTTTGCATTTAATAACAAATTTAACTTTATATACATTTTTAGGGCATATTTTACTGTTTTAATGGAATTTTTCAAGTTTTTAGAGTATTTTTTAGAATTTATCTAATAATCCTTAAATATTAGAATATTTGATCAGGTATTTCGGCGTTTGTTCGCTCAAAACGAGCACGTTTTATATGTAATCTACTAAATTGATAAACTAATAAATACGAACATATCGGCCCATGTACATATTTTATCAAAAAAAGAACAAAATTAAAATATTCGAAAGAAATTTTTCTATTTGCAAGAGTCCGACGACGATAAAATTTTACTAAAGTTAAATAAATATAGTTAAATATGTTTGGTTCATGATTTTTATAATAGATATATTATTATATTCCTAGCGTAAGCATTGGGCAAACGGGTATCACCCAGTCGTAGATTAAACAAAAGAAAAAAGGTACCTATATCATTCAAAAATTGAATATTATTTGAAATTATGGATAAAAATATACTTAAAATTGTTTTTATCCAGATAAGATAAAACGATAAATGTTTTTATCTAGAAAATGCACAACACTGATTATATTTGTATAATGTTTGTGGCATATAGTTTATAAATCGTTGTTGTTTTCAAAATAAATAATTTAAATATGTTGGTGTGGATGTTTATGTTTTAGGCCTCCAGAAACGACGAAGATGGCGACGTGGACGAGACATTCGAGATATCAATGGAACAAAACGAAGATAACCAAATAGACGAGGAAACGAACGGTGCAGACGGCGAGATCGAAATCGAACAGAATCAATGTGTGGAATTTATGCCCAGCGATAGACTGGCGTTGGTGGAGCGTAGTCTGCCGAAAAATAAGAAGGCGTTCGTAGGTGATGGCATGGCGAAAAAGACGTTGTGTAATACGTTTAAGGAGTCGATGAAATCGAGAGCTGCGACGAACGGTTTGGAAAACCTGGAACGTGAGTGGCTAACGATGATCGCGGGCCCGGAAGCGGAGCGGTTGGTCGACACGTTCGGCGGGAACTTCAAGAAGTTCGTCACGTCGCCCAACGGCGCGGAGATGGCCAACACGGTGACGTCCACGTTGCACTCGTTGTTGGCGAGGGCCGGCGCCGAGACCCGGCACTCCGGACTCGGCGAAGTCATCTCAATGATCATTTCGCTGTTCCGGTCACCGGAAATGCCGGAAATCGTGAACCTCACGGGCGGACTGATCATCTCGGCCGTGAACAAAGAAAACGGGTTGGCGGTCATCCACCAGTTTTGGGTAGAAGTCCAGAAACTGTTGGACGTGAAGAACGTCAACCGTAAGGTGCAGACCGCGTTCGACAATCTGTTAACCACGATGAACGAGTTGGCCAAAAAGCAGCCCAGGAACAAAAGCGCTCCGGTCTAGAACTAATATTACGCTCGTCCCGCATACGTTCTTCTAGCCGCCGTACCCACCCAAACACATAAGCACGTCACGCACACGCACTCAGAAACACTAACGACAAACGTCAAATCCGATCATGCATTGGAACTTTTACGTATCTACCATGTACGGTGTGCAGTGGTCATTTTACAGTTAGATAAAATATCAATCATGCGAATCACCGTTTTCATCATTCTCATTTGTCATTACTATTATATTTTGATTTTTTTTCGTATTATTTAATTTTATTTTTATAAGGTAGACTTCAACAGATTTTTCCATTAATTTTTGCTGTACAGTACGTGTAATTTTATTTTTATAAGTTGTTCCAGATTAACTATGATGTATTTATTAAATATAAAACACAATGCCAGTATTAACGTTCCTATGTTATCTTAAATTAATGCGTACATACGTAAACAGTTTTTGTAGTTTGGTTAAATATAACTTTTTTCTGGGTTTTTTGAATACTAACGGAGAATAGTAGAATACTTGTTTGTCGGAAGTTTTGGTATGATTGATGGAAAAAGCCATACCGGACAATTTTACTGCTGTAATTACTGTGGGACTGAGATTTTAATGCGCTTAAAAACCGTGAAATATCCATTAAAAGTTCTAATAATCCCAAAATTTACAAAAACTTGAAATTCTAAAAATGCAAAGTATGCATTTTTTATAAAACCATATTAATAAATAATTATAGAAAATATTTAAATAAAAATGTATTTGAATATATATTTATAAAAATGTACCTATATGAAATGAAAAGTACAACTTGTGGATTTGGAATTTCTTGTTTAAAATCAAAGCCAATTCATATATATATATGTGTGTGTGTGTGTTATGTATTCTATGTAGTTATTTGTATTTTTCCGATAATTGATGCTGAATAAAGGAACAAAAATGCCTGAAGATTAAATATAACCGGAAATTAAGTAGGTGCAAATCAAATTATAAAATAAAAATATTTAAAAAAAAAAATGTTCAACATGTCAAGTAACACATGGGCTGAAAAATCCCGGACCTAACAAAGAAAACACGGTTCTTTCATTAAAAATTGACTTTATTCATCAACATAATCTCCATCAAGAGCAACACAATCATTCCAACGCCGTTCTAACATTTTAATACCATTCTTGTAAAACGATTTATTTTTTGTTTCAAAATAGGTATCAGTTTCATTGATAACCACTTCATTCGAGCGAAATTTCTTACCAGCGAGCATTTTTTTAAGATTTGCGAATAGCCAGTAGTCGCTGGGAGTCAAATCTGGAGAATACGGTGGATGCGGAAGTAATTCGATCTTTAATTCGTGTAGTTTTTCCATTGTTATTTTTTTTGACTTGTGACACGGTATGTTGTCTTGATGAAACAAAATTTTTTTCTTTGCCATATGTGGTCGTTTTATTGCAATTTCGGCCTTTAAATGCTCTAATAACGCTATATAATATTCACTACTGATATTATTTCCTTTATTGAGGTAGTAAATAAATATTATACCTTACTTATCCCAAAATACTGCGGCCATAACCTTTTCAGCTGATTGTTGTGATTTCGGGCGCTTTGGACGAGGTTCACCATTGCTATCCACTCAGATGACGATCGTTGACTCTGAAGTAAAATTATGGATCCATATTTCATCCATTGTAACATATCGACTCAAAAATTCTGGCTTGTTACGTTTGAACATGGCTAAACACTGTTTTGAACCATCAACACATTGTTGTTTTTGCTCAACAGTGAGCAAACGTGGCACCCACTTTGAACAGAGCTTTCTCATGGACAAATGCTCATGCAGTATAAAGCCAACACGTTCTTTTGATATTTTTAGGATGTCAGCTAACTCATGCCACTTCACTTTACGATCTTTTAAAAAGATTTGTGGATTTTTTCAATATTTTCTGATGTTACCGCCTCATTTGGACGTCCATTGCGTTCTGCATCATCAGTGTCTCCACGACCACGTTTAAAGTTAGCATACCAATGTTTTATTGTTCTTTCTGATAAAGCAGAGTCCCCATAACACTTTACAAACTATTTCTTCGCTTGAACGGTATTTTTTCTCATCAAGAAGTAATGTAAATTTAATACACGAAATTGGTTTTTATCCATTATTTTGAAAATATCAAAAGTACCACCACTTTAAACAATAACTCAAACGCTAATGAACAAATTGTCATGAAATTTTAACAACTGTTTTCTGTAAGTTCTACCAACTAAAATTATGTGAATTCCTCAATTCTAGAGCTATCTATGTTTTAGGTCCGGTACTTTTCAGCCCATGTGTTATGCATTAGACGATTTTAAGGGGATTGCAAACCATGATTTTCTTTCTCTTTCTATCACACGTACTATATAGGGATTTAGACATTTTCTATTTCTACATATCGATTGATCTATTGATACGATAAAGATTTTGAAAACTAATTTGAATTCTTCGTAATGTCTTCTTTATATTAATTTTTCCATTTTTTTGATTTTGTCATCCAAAATTTCACAAAGTAGGATTAAACAAATTGAAAACATAAAAATTAATTTTTGTATATGTTTTTTTTTGTGTGTCAAGTACAAAATTTAAAAAATGTGAAAAAGTCAATCTAAAGAAGATTTTATAATGAATTCAAATCAGTTTTCAAAATCCTTATCGCCTTAATAGATAGATCGGTACGTTAAAAATAAAAAATGACTAAATTTCTATATTGCATATGCGATAGAAAGAGAAAGAAAATCATGGCTTGCAATCCCTTAAATTAAAATGCACAGCTCTGGTATTTCTGTATAAAAAAGATATCTTTTATAAAAAAAGTTACCTATAAGAAAGTTTGTGAAGTTCATTAGTTGTTTTATATGATAATGACAACTATACAATTAGACATTACAAGTAATTCGTTCCTTAATTTGAGGTATACAATATCTGTATACTATAAATATATTTTATTAAACAATTAAACTAAAAACTCAATATTAAAATAGCGAATACGTACAGTGTGACTGAATTTGATATGACAGGGGGCATCGGCTTTAAACGACGACTTTTTTAATATTTACTTTCACGAAGTGTTCGCCTAATGATTAAAAATGTTTGCCATAGTCTGGGTCGAGTTTAAGTTGAAACCTAACCTTTTCTACATAGGAACCTACTTTTCACTAATACTCTACGTTTACATTACTATCTCATTATATTGCGAATATATTTGTTCGCCAATAACATACATACGTTTTTACCATGCAATTTAGACCTCATATAGGTATTGTTTGTTAAATAATATAGATAAGTGAGGCTGTTTAATATGCACCTTAGAATATTTATTAGGTACTTACTTCATCAATATAATTTAGTTTATAAACTTTACAAAAGTGTGTTGTTCATAAAGGTAAATTGAAAAGTATTTTTAGTATAATATTTAAATTTGCTTAAAAACCACGATTACAACTTTGTTAAAATAAACAAAATATACAGTTCAAAATGAAAATAGCAAATGTCCCATAATTAAAACCATATTAAGATTAATTTGAATAAAAAACGTGTTGATGCACAGCTACAGTTTCAACTACCTATCAACGTTTTAACACAGTAGACTATAATAATAGTTATACTTTCCACTTCATATTTATATCACAGATTATATCTATTGTAATTTGTCTTAATAAGATTTGAAAAAAATGGATACAAAGTATTACGATGTAAATATTTTAATATGTCATAGCAATATAGGCAAGGACAGATCCAGGAGGGGACGAGGGTCCTAGATGCACTAGTGCCCGATTGCACCAAACTTATCATTACTTATCTATCGGTAAATATTTTTAAACTTATGTAAACTTTTATCTAATGATAAAGTAAGCTAAAACACTTTATTATACATTGTATATTACTTATACAACCATTTTGTTGACAGTAAATAGTTAATCAACAATTCTAAGTTTACACGGACATTATGAGGACCTGACACTTAAATATATATTTGTTATATATCTACAATATTGTTAGAAAATTAATAAATTGCACTTTACACAACACTACAATATAAATTATAATATAATATAGCACGCACATATCTAGAATTTTACTTCGGAAGAGGGTGGATCATAAATTATAAAAATAAAATTAATTAAATAATTGAGAAACACCTTCTTACAAGTAAACTTACTTCGGTATAAACATTAAACAAACATAAATGTTATTAACTATTGTGGTAAACTGTTCACTGAATAATATACACGAAATATTTATTGGTACCTAATATTATTTTCAGAAATTAAAATATCACATTTTTTCCCCATAACTGAACATAAGTAAATATTAATACTTATTGCTATTAGGATAAGAAAAAAGTAATGTTCTTTATGTTATATTGACAGCAATCTATAATAAATTACAAATATATAAGATCACGTAAAGACTAGTTTTTCTTACTAAAAATAATTTTGCTTTATGAAATCAAATGAACACCAGTGTTTCATATTACTATATATAGTTTTTCATAGATTTAAAAAGTATCATTTGGATACTTTTATGATCCATCAGTTGCTTATTTATCATATTAGACTTTAATATATATATACATATTATAAAGAACACTCAATTTTAATTATATAATACAATAAAGTAATGTAATTAGTTTAAGATGACATGCACAGTATAATGAATATAAGAAAGGTAGAAGACAAATATAAGACAAATATAAGACACACTTGAAATATTAAATGGATAAATATATAGCTTACAAATGAAAACTCCACAAAAATAATAATAGCAATCATAATTGTTCAAAATAATATTTTACATAAATTTATAGATAATATTCAAAATAAATAATACAATCAAACATATTAAATTCCAACATAAACAAAGATATTATTGAATAGCATTGGACAACACAATAGTATTATTTTTAGGTTGGGTTATGTATTTTACTAAGAACAAGAAGACTTACGAGAATAATGAAAAAATTAATAAAAGTTAACAATACTAAATTCATTGAACTTAATTTTCACATTAGTAATGGTTAAATTAAAAAAAAATTACTGCATTTAGTTTGTTATAAACATCTATTATTCAAAAATGCAAAATTATTAATATATAATATCGACAGTAGTATTATGCAAATTTATTAATTTATAATCAAAACTGATAATATTAAATTTCTATTTTTGTAATTACCATTTTTTAATAATTTTAAGCAAATTTATTTAAAGTAAGAAAAGTACCATATATAATCTTTAAGCTGAAATAAATAAATTATAATTGAAATAATATAGGTTCAATTTAAGTAAAAAATTAATAATTTAGTCTATTGAATTTATTATCACTTTTATAATTAAGAAATATTACACTAAAATCTTTTATTCTAATAAAAAATTATTTAATATATTTATATAAAATAACACCATAATATTTCGATCGCTTTTTTAATCAATTCACGCATTCCTTAAACTAAAACTCAATAATTAATGACCTAGGAATAAATGTTACAACAATTTACTTAACAAACGATTGTGTTAATATTTTGAGCTATGACAAAAATATAAAATAAATTTTGCACTTTCTAAGGTAATTATTATAATAATTATATGCAAATGCTCCTTTATTATGCAGTCTAATATAATTAAATTATTATATGAGATATATTACTTTTATGATAAAATACATAAAAATGTAACAAATAAAAAAAAATATCTTAATTGGTTTATTTTTTAATAATATATTATTAATAATTTGGTGTATAATATGTAAAGAATAGGCAACAAATATTTAGTTTTTAACAAATTGAATTAATTTTATATCACACTATGAAATAATACTTTGATATTTGCTTCAAGAATAACAATAAAATAATTTAAAAATTTAAAAATATTTTTTATATTCCAGTTAAAAGTTTCATATATTTATAATTTATATTTTATACAGATTTTTATAAGTTTAATGGGAATTATCAAATATTTTTATCTTTACTAAAAATTATTGCTGAGTTTAATCCTAATAATAATAATAATGATATTAATGATGATTATACTAAACAAAAAATCACAGTAAATGAAAATTTAATTGTTGGACCACATAACACAGCTAATCTCTGTAACCAAATTTGCTGCCAGCCTTTTCTTCTTAAACAATATTAACAATAGTAAAAAAAAGCTAAAAATTATTAAACTAACCTAACTTTATATTTATCAATCAGACATAAAAATGTATGTAAAATATTTATAACTATAATAATACATAACAATAATTCACGATAAGTTAATTAATTTTTTTAAATAAAATTTAAAGAATTATCAAATTAAAAAAAAAAAATAAATAAAAATGTATATTTCTGATAGCAGCAGCAATAAAATAAAACCAATAGCCGTAGTAGTATAATAGTAGTTGTACTAACTATGTTTTGCACATCAAATTACTTGAGCAGTTCGTGTGCTCGCTGGTTGGCCACTGAAATTCTTGTTTCATTAGATCCAGCCTAAAAAAATATGTTGACTATTAATTATGTCAAATTATGAAATATGATACAAAAAACATAATTACAAAATTACACACATGGAAAACAAATGACATTAATTTGCAGTTTATCTGTTTAACTAATGCCTTAATCAACATTTTTTTTTTTTTAATTTCAACGTATGTGGATAAAGAAATAATTTTATATTTCATTACAGCAAAAATATTATTACAGCATGGATAAATATTTTTGGGATTTAAAATTCAATAGAATAAAGCTAATAAAAGATAATGAAATGGATGAAATTTATATATTTATATATATATTAGATTTCACACAAAATCCTCCATAATAATTAACTTATTTTTTTTTTTATTTAATACAAATAAGACACATAAAAATAGAGAAGTAGATGTTTTAACATAATTTTAAAAAGCTATTAAATTTTCTAAATATTTTTAAAATATATAAAATACCTTCATGTTTATTCGAGACACTTGTCTATTTTGGTTCTCCAATTCACTTCCCATATCCAAAGCCATATTACGAAGATTGCCAATCATAGTATTAACTTGACCCATATTTTCCTCCATTTCATTTTCCCGGGCATCATTTGTGATCCTATAGATTGTATAGACAAACAGGAAACATTCAGTATTAATTTATCGATTAGAATTACAACTTAGGATAAGTAACAGAAAATAATTATTATTTATATGATTTAAGACATATAAATACGTATGCTGTAATCATGAGTATTATTCAAGAGCGTACTTAGCTATGTAACCTCCTTGGGCACCCATGCCATTGCGTTCATCCATTACACGCTGTGGTTGATTATTAACCACTTTACCATCATCATTACCTCGCCACGTACCTTCATCTTCTTTAAATGAAGCAGACCTTTAACATGTAAGCAGCAATAAAAACTTTTTGTAATACATATGTTACCGGTTATATGGATAATTCAGGTATTTTACAAAATGCCTAGGCATTATGCAAATTGCCAACATATTTTGGGCAGTATAAATAAAACATAAGATTTTCAATATTATATTATATATAACCTAGGCATTTTATAAAATACCTAAGGCATTATGCAAAATGCCAATTTTTTTTTTTAGGAAAAGTACAAAACATTTTATAATATGTTATATTACATTAAGATTCTTATAATTATTATATATTATTACTCATATTACAGACAAAATTTAATTTTAATCTATAATTATATAAATATTTTACTTAAACTACTATTCACTTATTAAAACATGTTGTAAAAAAGTGACATTTTGAAGTGCACAAAATGTGATTTTTAAGGCAAATACACTTTTTAATTTGACACTTGAACTTACAAACACATTTTAAAAATCCTTAGCCAATTCTTGTGTATTGAATTTTTATCAATTCATTATACTGTTCATCAGATAAAATCTAGTATTAGTGGTCCAATTTTTAAAAAAATTTGTAGTTTGTTATAAAAATTTGACTTCATCCAAATCGTATGCATAATTATAACACCAAAACGAAACATGAAAATGATGAGAAAAATTACGATATTGTAATAAAATGATTAGTACGTTCAATATTATATCTCAGTGTTGAGTGGAATCGGTTTAAAAGTAGATACAGACACAACGTTTAAGTTAAATTAATAAACAATTTAATATCGTGAAATTATAATAATAATAATAAGATTATATAAAACGCACTTCGTACAACGGCAACCGGTCGCATGTCTCGACAGACTGTCTCCGTATATCTGTGTTACAATACCCGTATACATGCCACACCCGACATACAGAATGTGCCATCTCAACACTAATCGCTGGCAATAATAATGTATACATATATACTTAAAATTACAGAATGAATATAAACTAATACATACTAAATATACTGAGTGTATTGTTTAATTTCAACACTCAGAATTATTATTGCAGTAGTAAAAGAATATTAATCTTTATTGCGTTAAATCGTGAACGCACACTTACGATAAACGACAATTTTGTTTGTTTTCTTCATATTGCCTACTCCACGATTAGCATTTTATATAATGCTTAAGCATTTTGCAAAATACTAGATTATTCATATTGCCGATAACATATATATATTTATATTATAATAAATATTTGAATAATGAAATTTAATTATTTATCATACTTGTTACAAGGCAATACACATATTCCACAACATTTTTCCATGCCAGTCAGATTCTTTTCAGCTTCTTTCATATCAGCATTTATCTGGTCCATACCTTCTTCAATCCTGTCCAATTGTTCTGTAGTTTTTGAAAATTGCACATACATTCACACACGTACATAAATCACACGCATAAAAAAATGGATTAGACATTAAAAATAAAATAATATAGTAAAAAAATGTGTACAAAAGTGTAAATATTTATTGTTTTTGTGTGTTGTGAATATTCCTACGCCTAAATGTGATATAATTTAATTAGCTATACGCGCAACGTTTTTTTTTTTTTATATGAATGGTTTCAAATATTATCATAAATTATGTTTGTACTTAGAATTATAAATAATAATGATCGGTTAATCAAAATATGGTTTTTATATTAAAGAACATTACCAGCAGTATTTAGGTACTAAATAATTATTAGAATATATTAGAATACATTTTAAAACGTTTCCTCAGATTCGCACTTGTATTTTAGTCAAGTATTATTATGTAAGCATATAAATTATATTATGTTGTTGTTTCGTCAATTCTAATGTCATATAGTTATAATAAGGTTTCAATGGTGCATTAGAAATATAATAGATAATGCAATTATTTTTAATGAATTTATTATTATTTCATAAAGAAATTCGACTATTATAAATGAAAAATATTTTTTCTATTTTCAATAATATTTTTCAATCAAAAAATTATAATTCTATTGTTATATTCTCAAAAATGTATATTTGTTTAGATTAAGTTACCTTCAATAAAATACACCACTGAAAAGGTAAAGTTATGATTATTATTATGTATAATAGTCAAAGGAATAATGGAACATGTACCTACTTTTAAGTCATATATTTTTAATGGATGGTGAGCGTGAATAATTAAATTTATTTATTAAAATTATATATTATATTTATCAAACAAAAAAATTTAAATTTATAAATCAATTATAATACTTTTATTTTTTATAAAATGATTATGATGACAAACATCTAAAGAATGATAAAATCCAACTTACAGCCATTTATTGTGTCTCAATTTTCAAATTACATTATTATTTTTATATTTTGTTTGTTAACTCGATTTTTTTTATTTTATTGCTCTTACCCCCTTGTTCATCCAACATCACAAGAGATTTCATCCCGACTTCGTGGCTCTACACAAAAAAAAAAAAAAAACAACAACAACAATAATCACCAACAACAATACCTTTGTCGTAATGATGATGAATGTGTCGATGCATATTTTAAATTTATTTTATTCTATCTAAATATATATAATATTTATAAAAGTATTATTTAAAATGTCTACAGGGATTTTTATCTATCTATTTTGTGTATAATATCTATTTAGTTTGTCTAAGACATTTGAATGAAAAAGACATACACTATTAAAAATGTAAGTAAAATAGGGCAAACAATAATAAACAGTTATGATTTAATAAATAAAAAAAATTATTATAATGATAAAATTCAAACAATGACAACAACAAAAACAATTCAACAATATCAACAACAACACAACAACATAACAACTTAATTACTACTATAAAATGTATAAAATGCTATGCAAAACGAGGAAAAACGTTAAATATGTTTAATAAAATTGAAGTTTTATGAAAATAAATTTATAATGAAAAATAATGATAGAATACACACACACACACTTGTGTTTTAATATTAAAAATTTATTTGTACCCAACTAACATTAATTTTTTATAAATTTCCTATTATTATAGTTCCATAGATGTTTTATAAATTACAATTATGCTCCAATGAGTATAGTTTATGCAGAAATAAATTTGAAGCTAATCTATATTATATAACCTTATAACCTTAGACAATATAAGTCTTACCGCCTTGTATGTGCAAATTTTCTATGGTTTTTGTGCCAACATCTACACTCTACAAATAAAATATAAAACAAAAAACATAAATTGCTAAATAGACATAGTGAAATCAAAATTAAAATTAAAAATAGTTACAAAAGCAAAATACTGAAATTATATAAAATGTTAGTATAGCAACAAATAAAGGCCATATTTAGGGAAGGTACAATTAGTTATTACTAAATGTAAATATGAAACAATACAAAAAATATTTAGTAATTAATTAACTAAATATAAATAATATTATAATTAATTTGTATTTATTCTGTGCATTGTCATTTGTCAAATTTGAATGACTAAAATATAAGAAGTAATTACACATTAGTTAAGTGCATTAAGGTACACATTTAACTAAATAAAAAAAAATTGTACCCTTCCCAATATAACACAGATTAAAAAAGCCCCTAATGTATGCAACATTTTTCTGAAAACCTTTTCCTGTTACTAATGTATGTGTAGTGACGTGATAAATAAGACGTATTTTACATATATATATATATACTAACCATTATTATTATAAATCAGTAGTATGGTTTTTATTTATACTTGTGAATCTGTAATTTAAGTGCTTTGTGAAACACGGTCGGTGGATACTTGAAAATCACCACCGCCAGTAATGCTCATATTATTTAATATTTTAATTTATTTATTTTAAAAATTTTTAAATAAAATCAAGTAGACACACAATGTGAGGAGCGCGCATGCACTTTTTTGTGAACCAATATTAATGTGTATGTGTATATTGTATATGGTTGAGTTAGTGTATATGTGTGTATATGAAATTGTGTCCTTTTAGAGTACATGAGATCCTGTAGCAACGGCAACAGCAGCAGCAACAAGAACTTCATCATCAACTCACCTCCCTGGTCATCGAGTGCGACTAATGTCCTGATTCCGGCCTCCTTGCTCTATGATTGTAGTATTGGAGTATTTGAAAGTAGAAGAGTGGTAGTAGTGATGGTGGTGGTAGTGGTGATGGTGTGGTGTGCGTGTGACAGAAAAAAAACCAATAATAATAACATTATATGAGAGATAGTGTATCCTATTCATTTTTGTATACATATATTATGGTGTGTATTATTTTTGATTATGAAATTTAATAATTTTTGATAAAAATTGCAAAGTAAATAATACTTTTAACTATCTTGAATTTTATAAGAAGTTATTAGATTCTGAGCGGAGCGAAGAATGAATTGGTTTTACAATGATGTTTCTTTCTTTTTCTTTTTTATTCTGTAAACACTTTTTCTCCCTCTAAACTTGCTCAAAAGTATTAAGTGTAGCATATTTTCTGAAAGGTAATGTTTTTGAACTGGTACTTTAGAGAGGTCATTTTTCGATTTTCGAAACGGTACTCGAAATAAAAACGGTTTAAGGAGAAAAAACGTACGATTTCACGAATTTATAATATTAAATAATTACGGATGTTTTCTACCAGAAATATTGCTTCAAATGAAAAATGACAAGAGAAACTTTTTTGTTGTATTTTGGATTTTGTTCCTTACGGTTTTTAAAGTTCGGAAAATTTTAGCCATTTTTTAGCTATTTATTGACATTTTAATTTTGGGTTGTTTACTTATATTATCCTTACCTAGATATGACAAAATTTTCAAAACATTTGAGCGACTTTTGAGCTTTTTCCTTTATTTTATATTTTTTTTCATTTTTATGATATTTCCTAATTATAAATTATAATTATAATTATATGAATTATCTATTTATATAAATCGTTTTTAAGTTATTCTTAAAATGCTTTGTTTATCACCATAGAAACGAATAAAATTAAATAAAAAAGATTCCCTCGTCCGCTCAGAATCGTTTTTTATCGAATGCAATCATTGCATTCAAATTGAATACAGTAAAATTACACTATCCTGTCCGAGGTTATTTTTAATTTATTTCTGTAAAGTTATGTGTGTAAATTTGTTCTTATAATAAAATAGCATTATTCATTTTTGAAACTGGTTTTTGTCTAAATAGAAAATATATTTTTTTATATATACATAATACATAATATGTTACACATATATTTATATCAATAAGTTTATCTAGATAAAGATATATAGTATATCTCATGGCAAACATTATAACTCAGATAAATATTTGTGATAAAATTGAAGAATCAAGTTTTTGTACATAAATTTAAGATAACAGCCAAAACGAATCAACTTTGTCCACATTTTATAGATATTTATCTTAGCTACAACATTAATTACAGACCATTTTATATAGTGTTTAAAATAAAAGGATCAACTATTATATATTATATATATTATATATATATATATATATTTAAAGTGTTTATTTCAACAAATTATTCTAACTAATATTATTTTATATTTTATATATGAGTATGTATTTGTATGAGTTGGCATTTTGTGAACTTGTATTTTACTGAATATAATATAATTATTTGCTAAAAAGACAATTAAAATGTGTTTGAAAATTAAAGAACGAATGTTATCAATATTTTAATTTGAGAATATAACAAGCAAATAATGCACAAGACAAACACACACCGACATGCAGCAGCAGCAATAGCAGCGGCAGCAGCACCAATAGCTTTATTATTATACAAAAATATATGTTATATTTTACACGCACACCTATAAACCCAATTTTGTTCATACTTTAGTAGTTAATGTTTCTATCCAATTCAATGAAAAATTATTATAGATATAAAGACAATATATAAAATATTATTCTTGTAATTCAAGCCCAATATTGTATTTTGAATATTAAAATGTTAAAACAATACTTTAATGCGGTACAAAAAAAATTCAGAAATAACAAATATTAATAAACACAACATTTTTTTAGTATGATTGAAACATTATAATTCTAGAGAAATATTAAAAAAATTTTAATGACTGTAAATAATAGAAATATTATGTACTTTAAGTAATTATACTGTTAAATAAAGAATGGTTAGTTGAATATGTTTACTAAAATATTTAAAAATAATATCTTACCTCTTCACATAAAGCCAACATTCTTCTGGTGCTCTCAAGAGACTAAATTCATGAATGAAAATAATAAAAAAAAAGGTATTAATAAATATTATAAAATATATTATTTTATTATAATCAGCAACATTTAATTCAGGTTTGCCAGTATCTATATTAATCAGACCAATAATAAATTAGGACTGGATAATTTAAATCAATGCTGTTAAATATCTAATATATAATATTAAAATTAAATGAGTACCCATCTAAAAGGTACATCATTACTAGGAATTTACCAAATGACCCTTTGAACCTGGTATTCAGCACCATTTGTTTTACATTGAATAAGACAGTTGTATAAAGAATATTAAAAAATAATAAATCAAAAATTACTCACTTCATCAGTTACTTCTCCAGCTTTCATTTGAAGTTCTTGAAGTTCAGTTTTTGGTACAGCTGGCTGCGCAGAACCACCGTCTGGAGACATTGCTGGATTGGATTTTTTTGGTGCAGGCATGATTTAAATTGTTTGAAGTGGTTTTTTATGTGTTTCTGCTGAGGTAAATTTAATTTAATTAAAGTTGAATAAATTTTTTAATATTAATTTTTTTAATAAACGAGTTATTTAAATCAACAAAATATATGACGAATTCAAATATTTTAATATTTGAACATAGTACACGCGGTAATCATCAAATCACTTAATTTATATTTGCTCTAAGTAAATAATCCAATAGAATAATGACTTAAATATTATAATATCTAGAATTCAATGTAAACGTCATTAAAGAGTTAACACCCATTCGATGTTCGGAATAAGAATATGTGATAATAAAAATCACTACTAAAATGAGATGCAGTCTACTATCTCCGTATCGTCACAGTTTAATGATAAGAAAATATTTACCAAGACAACTAGGCAACTAATCTGATTAATTAATATCAGTCAAAAAGAATAGAAAGTATAATTTATGTGCTTTTTATTGCTTTCGAATTCACGAGACATAATTTAATCACAGAAGAGTAAGTAAAAATGAAAGCGACTTACATCTCAATACAGGAATGTGACTAAGAGATATATTCTCACCGTGAGGTACGAACAATAAATCAATGCATATTAGTAGAATATATACTGCAGTCTACAACAAAGATAAAAAGCGTACTTTTTGGTTAAAATTAAAAATAATTATGATTTTCAATATACCTTCCGACTTTCGCGTCGTAACAACGATTTGTTTTCACTAATTTTTATACTGTGAAATGCGAAAAAAATAAAAATGTTTACTCGAAGGCCAAACTGTACAAATATTTAACTGGTAAAAAAATCTGCACCGAAATTTTGTCCGTGTCCCCTCTCTTGTGGTAAAATTACTATTCGTTTTGTCTATATTATTATGGTTTATGTGTAGGTACAATTGAAGGTTATTACTAGAGACTGTATTTATATGCGCTTAAAATCTTAAAAATAAGATGTTCTTATGCTTTATAATTTCATAAAAACAATCTTTTATATGTATGAATATTCTGTTTTGAAAAAATATGATTTTTTATAAAAATGTATTAAATGCTGGAAAAACAAATAAAAACTATACATTTTTCCTTTATTAAAGGAATTATAATATAGTTGAATTTATATGAATGCATATTATACGATTTAAAAGATGTTTCAATTATTTTAGTATTCTTTAATAAAATAAGTATATGGTATATGGTTTAAATGTAGGTTGTCTTGGTAGACATTTTACCGGAGATTTTAACTAAAAACTTAAATATAGGATTTTATTTTATATTTGTTTCCACGTCAAACCAGATTATTTTTATTTAATTTTTACTTTATAACATAATATTTGTTGTTTTTAAACAATATATTATTAAAAGTATTTTCTAGCTTTCCAACTGCACATTACGAGTGTTTATATATTAGTGCATATTTTATAATATATTATTCAATTTTTAAAGCAATAATATTCCTTATTTTATACATTAATTATCCATCCATCAGAAATGGCTATCAGATATATTTCGATACATAACATTTGATTGCATTATTTTTTCCATTTTTAAACTCGTATCTACTTAACTCTAAACTCTAGTGAACGCAGTGGTTCGGAAAGATCGTCTGTTGGCAATGCATTCGACCAAATCAACGGCATTGTTAACCTACGGATGAGAAAATATGATGTTAATGGCGGGATCGATCCCCTATCTACGCGGTCCCTTGATACAGCTATTGGACTATCACAGGTCATTGGAAGTGGGGGTGGTGGCGATGGCGGCGGTAGTTGCGACGTCGCGCAACCTTGACCCGATTACCGCCGCCGCGCCCTTCTATGCGTCTTATACTTTTGTAAAATTGCACGTTATTTTCGCGTTGTTCGGACAACTTGAACTAACTGTAATAATGTACAAAGGAAAAAATTAAAAAAAATATCTACAGCGACGTCGTGAGTTGTTATGCGTTTATTATAAACTGTCAAGTTTCGCTCGACTAAAGCTCGAAACGCAAATTTACACAAATATAATATAGCACTACAGAGGGTGAGATTTTATGCGATTTTTTTTATCACAATACCTCCGCTCATACATTAACATTCGTGATATGGTTTCGTTAGGTGTGCGGGATATATTTGATCTAGCACATTACTTGATTTATATGAATATACGGGATATATCTACGGAAGCTTATGCTCACTCCTCTCCTTCCTCCAAAACCGAACTTTATTTCCACCGCTGACATATAGCAAAAATATTGTGTACTGAGCGGAGTTTGGTTCGTGAGAAAATATTCACATTGCTTGCTCGAAAAGTTATAAGAAATTCTATTAGGAATGTCCACCGAGGTTTATCTTTTACAGAGCCATAGTACTACTATTTTACTATTTATTATTTTTATATTGTATAATTTATTAACAATTTATAATGTCTATAGTTTTATCGAATTATTTAGACGATTGAATCATATAAACTCAACTAGTCTATCTAGGTAGTCCAGTTATTATTCACCAAAGATAAAATTGTTAGTTTGATTAGCAATTTAATGTCTGTTATTAAATATCCATAAAATTAATTTAATAAGAAATATGGCCATTTTAATAATCGTATGAATATATTTATAAAGCTAGATATTATTTTACCAATTATACTATTTATTATAAAATGGTACATACTGTTATATACTAATATAGTAATATTTTATTTGATAAATATTATTATTATAACTCTGTTTAATTTTATTCGTGTCCCACTAAACACTAAAAAATAATATACCTACTTATATTATATTTATTGGTCACCGTATGTTTTTTTTACATGTTAATATAATAATCTGAAAAAAATATGCTCGATACTTACTATAATTATAGTTATACTATTGTATACAGACAAATGTCATAACAGTAATTATTGAGATCATTAATAGTAGGTAATTGTTTTAGTGAACTATAGTTGACAATTTTTGATAAATCTATATGCTTATAAAAAGTTTTATCAAATACGATAACTATAAAATGTTAGATTAAGAATAATAAAATAATTTTGAATCATCCGTTGAAATTAGCATAGAAAACATTTATTGATAATGTCAGTAGTATCTAATACAAAAATTAGTACTTATTTATTTTTGAAGTAAAAATAAAATAGTAAAAGTAATGAAACTTACAAAAGACGAGTTAATATGTAAATTAATAAATCATTATCTTTGACAAATATTAAGTAAACTTTTAAATTTTACATTTTTAATTGCATACCTACTACAATTAAAAATTAGCGTTATATAATAATGTATCTACTACATTTGTCCATCTCGTCGAAATAATTTGTAAGTTAAACTCCGAACCAAAGATATCCAACCTCCTAAAAAATATTTCAAAATGTAGACAAATAAACCTCATGAGGATTTTATTACGTGTCTAATAAAATAAACGATAGTCCTAAATTACAAATGTATTATATTAGTTTAACGCCACATAGCTAGTTTGTACTTTGTCATATATGCTGTATGTTTATACTACAAGGAACGTAAAATTTGCGTTCACAATGCTAACTTAATGCATTTCTATATCGAATCAAAGCGAATACACTATAGGCAGGGCCGTATTTAGGAATTTGATAGCAGGGGGCAACAATAAAAAATGCTTCATTATACCAAATACAAATTTCTGCGGGTTGAAAAGGATCTTTCTGAAGAACAATTCGTTGCTGGTGTACACAACAACATTCTAAATGCAATGTCAACATAAGGATAGATTGTTTGTAAATCTTTGGATCCATCAACAGTATTCGACCGTTACCGAGTATATGTCGTGATTGGCGATACATATTTTTTTTGAGATACACTTTTTATTTTGTAAAGAAGTTTTATTTCAAAAATATTAGATCATTAAATATTGAAAATATAAAAAATTAGCCACCCGGGGCAATAGCACCCTGTAGCTCCCTCCCTAAATACGGCTCTAACTATAAGTGTTTATGAAGTTTAATTTACATTGAGATCATTTTGAACGCAACACAAACGGGGCAATTTTAATACATGCCCGGGCTTCAACATCTCTTTTTGTTTTCGAAAACAAAAATTATCCTGCGCAACTTGAGTCAACAAAAAGTTTTAGGATTAAAAAGTACCACCGATATACCGGAAACACCAACTCGATGTTACACGAGTGGGTTACAATGGAACGGATGGTTCGTCGGTAAAACGGATATAGCGTCGGCGAACCGCTGTCTAGCAGATTTGCGACCCCACCAACGCTATGATACACGAGGGATGTCGAGCACGACGCATAAGTACAACAAATATGTCCAAATATTGCCAAGTTAAACGTACGTCGGCAAAGCATGAACATCAAATATAACACCCACAGACGAACAAAAAAAAAAAAAACTTTATCACACCTACAGCAAGATAAAAAAAAAAAACTGAACGCACAAAAACCATGTAGGCGCGTACTTACATACCTACCATACGAGCTTATGCAGCGTACGTGCCAGATGTATTTTGTACACACGCGAGCGGAAGATGGAAAGGGGCTTGTGTTTTCGCGATACCATATTTTAATATTGTACATACAATGTAATATTATAAAACCGTCAGGTAAATAGGCCGTGGTAATTACGGGTTAAACAAAGTGATACCGTAATCGATGTTGAGCATATTATAATTACGAATGTGAACAAAAACGCGCGCGTTGCACGTACAATGTTAATGTTACGAGAAGGATTAAAAAATGGTCGAAAGAAAAACAACTGGAAGCAATGCGCGTATCCGAGCGGAACGTGACGAGGTTCACAATACTTTTGGAACGCTCTGCGGGTGGCTATAACCATTGGTTTAGGAGTATACTGAAATATTCTAGAACCAATGCTACAGCTCATAGCGAACCGCAGTTGTTTTGCGTTTCGCGACTCGTGGACGTATCGCGTGCACCAACGGCACGTCGAACGTACGGAAACGACGAAATACTTGCACCCATCACGTCGCGACGTGATGGGTGCAAGTACTTCGTCGAAACGGGCTTGGCTCGGAAGCGGCACCGCGACGATGACGGGTACGGTGGAATCGGTATTGGTACGTAGCAACGCCAAGAGAGCGACGTTAACGTGCAACGGAAGAGCACAAGGACGAAACGCGTTAACAGCGTTTAACAAATAGAACATTTTTACATCAATAGGTCTAACATACAAAACTACGTACAATAGTATCACTATACAATACAAACGCGTCCGTACGATTATCGTAATCCGTAAACGCAGTTCACGCGTACAGTTTATTTGTTTACCTAAGATTTCGGAGCTGCTCGTTGCGATGAGACTGCGACGACGGGACCACCACCAACGTACTCGACGGGTATCGGAAGCCGTCGAGGTAGCGAGAACGCGCGCCGCGAGTGTATGTGTGTGTGCGTGCGCGAAAAATAACTAATACCGGGTCCGGTGCTGGTTTGGAACTGTTGCGGAAACACAACACCTAGCCCGGTTGGCGTCTGGTCGTAGTACTGCCTCCCGCGCAAAGCTCGTAAATCACGGTAGCTGCACGTCGCGTGCCGTCGCACGGGCGTCCGGCGCGTGCGCCCTGGGTTGCCGGCGGTTTATCGCATGCGCCAAAGCCGCTCATCGATCAACGGCGCCGTTCAATACTCCACCGCCGCCTCCGGTGGCTGTAACGTAGTCGTCGCATTCCCAAATTAAGCGAGTTGCGCGCGCGCTGTTATGCCGAGTTCACGCAGACACGACACCAACTAAAACCAAACAGAAACTCTGTGTTTTTCGGCAAAATCAAAACATTTCTGAAACAATCGTGTTTCACGTGTATAGGTCCGCTCAAACCGAAGCGGTAGCGGAAGCGAAATTTAATGTCCATACGTTTTAATACGAGCGCGCTCGCCATTGGCGAAATTAATACCGCGGTGTAAATTTCACCGCAAGATTGAACGCGGTATTTTTATTTTTCGCTGCAGACACTATATTTTTCGCTTACCGCTACGATAATCAGTTGTGAATTCCCAACTATTGCAATGCACTATCAGTTGTTGTAAATTCTATTTTTTTATTTATTCAAATAGACGAGTGTAAAACAAAAGGTACAGGTGTTTACATAAAGTTAATTGTTTCTATTAACCAGTAATATATACCTATCTATATTTTCTAACAATAAGATATAAATACTAAACATTTTATGAATTTCCAACAACAAAATAAGAACAACTTATAAGAATCATAGTATTCAATAAACGTGCATTACCAACTATTCGACGAATGAACTAATAGCGCTTTACGTATAATATTACTTACTATTATTTGTTCAATGTTTATAGTATATAAACGTATTAATAATTTACATATTACCTCTTTAAAGCAATAGCGAAACGTTCAGATGGAGTTATTGGCACGCGAAAATGAGTCGTATCTTTACGTATATTTTCATTAATTAAATTTAAAATTCCATCAAAACAATTTAATGTCGTTGGAAAATAAATAAAAAAAACATATTGCATCAATTCGTGATTGAGGCATTAAATGATTAAATGCACCTAAACTTTCTCTTTGACTATTAATTCCATGAACCAATTTTCGTCTTTTACATCTAAAAACTAAATATTGTATGATTTTTTTTGTTATTTGTTATTGTAACTGCCCAAACCATATTTAAAAACAGTTGTAGTTAATATTATAAGTCTATGGTACCTTTTTTGTTTTTAAACATCCATTACAGCTGCTAAAAGAAATACATTTTCTTCCTTTGAACTGGAGTTTTCATAATATATATCCAAGGTATAATAACATTTTTTTTTAAATTTTGCAATTTATTGTTTTGTACCTTAAAATATTAATATTAATAATAACTAAAATACATGTACGCGCATGGGTGTGTGTCACAACTTCGATTAGTAATTCTCAGCGAAATATTTCGCTTTGGTTAGGTTAGATCAAGCGGTATTTGAAAGCGATAAATACCACTGAAGTTACCGCCGCCGCTTCGGTTTGAAAGGACCTTAAAACAAATTGTTCGTGTTTTTAAAAACAAAGTCGTTCCCGCACGATGCCATTTTGATGGTCGACAATTTTTTCATTCAACAGTCAATAATATTTCGAAATTCCATGAGTAGTCTATAAGCCAATAAAAATATATAAATATCTTCAAGTTTTGTATAATACTCATAATAGTAACAATTGGTTTGTTGTTCAGTGCTGTCCGGTTCATTAATATAATTATTTTATACAATTATTTTGTAGTTGCCATCTAATTTAAAATACTTAAAAATTTATAATTTTTTCAATAATACTTATATATATTTATCATACACAATTTACATTTATCATATGTAATATATCATGAATAAAAAAAAAAAAAAAAAAAAAAAATGGAATTTAGAAGACATATGTAAGCTTATAGATCTGTACCGGGAATCAACAATATTGTGGGATGCAACGAATTCCAGATATAAAAATACATTTAAGAGAGCAAATTAAATTAAAAGAAATTGGTATCCAATTAAATACAGACGCCAGTAAAATTGATCGGAAATTAAGAAATATTATATGTATTCACAATACTCCAAGGTGAAACGCGCGTATAGGCCCATGAAAAAATCTGGAGCGGGAAAAAATGTCCGTGATAAGTACACCCAGAAAAATATTTCGTATTATTAATGAAAAACGTATATTAAATTAAAGAAAATCGGGTATGATTTCAAGCCAATTTATTCATTAAAATAACTACCAACTTTTCATAAAACCATTGAAGTATATTATTAAATGAAACCCAAATTGTATTAATAAACAAACTGAAATACCGAATATTGAATGTTTGAATTTTTCGAATTTCAGTGACTGAATTAATAACTAATGAAAATAAACAGTGGCGTTATTTGAGGGGGAGTGGACTCGTGCATTTGCCTTAGCTATTCCAAAGTCTACACATCATCAGTATATAAATACGTATTTTATAAAGCCGTTGAAATATTGAAAATCAAAAATATGAGACGTGTACAAGGTATATATGGGGACGAACTGGCCAAGGAAGTAAAGGGGCAATCACCTATTGGGCTCTCGAAACTGTAATATTAATTATTCGTATATGAATTTAATACTACAATATAATGAAAAACACTATAGTGGTAAAACACTATTAATTTACTATTAGAATATCTGAATTTGGATGAATTGAGCACTATTGACTAAAAATAATTGTTAATTTAAATGTAATAATTTTAGGTCCAGTTGATTAACTCCGGGCCACCCGATACCCAGTCCACCACCCCTGACTATATAGATACGTATGTATAAAGTACAAATCAAATGTTTGGACTCGTTTGACGTCCCTCTTACTGAAATGAGCTCTTACTTGGCAATTTAATAAGAGCATGCTGATTGCTTTTACCAAGAAAAAACTGAAATTAAGCCACGGAAAATAAGTTATAGGTACAATTTTGAAAAAAACTTGTGTGATATAGTCAATAGAAAAAAAAAAAAAAACAATGTTTGAATTTTGTTTAGTTTTCACTCAACTCAGCGTGGGCACATGTTTTGTTTTATTAAACTAAAAAAAGTGGAGTTTGTGTTCTGTTCTTAATTTGTTTCTTTAACGTCTCTTTGTGAAACCGACAATATTATCCACGTATCGGGTGTTTTGTCATTATTCCGCGTGGAGGCGGAACGTAGCCGAGTCGCACCTTAGCATATTCGACTGTAACGCATCGCCGCAACGGTGAGCGAGCGGTGAACTAAACGCCGTTATAATGTAACGACACATGCCGTCTCTTCGTAACCCCCCACCCCTAACGTAAATCTATGAAATCACTGCTTTCTTATTATCTCATCAGCAATCTACTCCTGTCAGCAGTCTTTCAAAATACGTTTTTTTTTTGTCCCTCACAATCTCGGCAACCAACAGTTGATCAGACTCCGTCGTTGTTTATTCGGTTATCACTCATTATTGTTCCTGTTTCCGTCCGCGGTTTAACTCCGCATACAGAAAATGGAAACGCCGGAACGACGGCAGAAAATGGACGAGTCCAACAACAACGGAAACGCCGACGCTATCGCCACAGCTAGCACGTCGTCTAATGGTACGTTTCGCACGCATTACTAACACCAAGGACTTAGAAACCCATATTCATGTAGGGCAGTTGTCCTATTAGTTTGTGTGCTCTTATTAGTCACATTTTTTTTTTGTTGAGTGCTGTCATTTCAACCGTTCTGAAGTTAGGAAGTGTAATAGAATATTTCAAATAATAATTCAAATTAAATTAAACACCATGTATTGTAAAATATTCGAAGTCCAAAACATTAATTTATTTAATAAAATTAACTGGCGTAAAGGTGATTTCTAAGATCAGACTGTAACACATCTAACATCACATCTGATTATTGGTCTGTTCGGTACATTATATATCCCATTCTGTGTAAGAGATTGTGATCCTTTCAAATGATTAACATTTGGCCCAGCCATGGTTTAATTCTATCCTATATCTAAAACCCGGTTTTGTTCAAACTCCCTGTACTAGATTTTACATTTAGATCGTTATTTTGTTTCTCATACCTATCAATAATATTATTTTGCTAATGATATATAAATCCCCTATATGGAGTTTTTGACTTGTACTTAAGTTATTACCAGGTTTCAGAAAAAAACAGTTTTTTCATTTTAAACAAAAAAACCATTTTTATTAATTTCCATTGTTTTTTTATTTTAAACAAAATAATTTTTTAATTTTTCTTTTTTTTCAATCTTTTTAAACATGTTTTAAACATTTAAACATTTTAAAATATTAAATAAATTGTTATAATTTAATTTTTAAGGACAATGGACTTTGCAATTATTATGTAGCAATATTTATTTTTGAAGCTGGTCATAGTTTGGAATATCAAGGGAATCTATATAATCAACACTGGGCAATAGTAATCAGTACCTCACAAACGCATTCATATAATTTAAATTAGTAATCAATTGGGTACTTCAAGTACTATAGTTAGTTTGAATGTTGACAATTATTTGTAGTTACATATTTGTCTATCCTCTCTAGACGGAATGGGGTATTTAAAAAACATGGTAGATAGCTAATGTGTACAAAATAAGACACGCAATAAAATCGATGTTTTATTGTACACATATTTACAATGAGAAAAATAATACTTATATACGATTTTATTATAGTTATCAATGGTTGTCTGAGTCACAAACATTGTCCTCAAAAAAGGACATTGGGTTTAAATTAGGTTTAATATTAATTAAAATTAAAGATTTACATTTTTAATTAAACTAATTAAAATAAATGTTAACTTTAGTAATAACCAGGGCTAGGATTTGAATGCAACATGTTTTTTTTTTGTGATTTGTGATTATTGATTTTGTCAATAATGTCCATGAATCATCTCATGATTAGGTAGTTATTTTTTTATTTTTTATGTTTTTGCATATTTTGGATAAAATGCATATTATTGCATATATTGAATAAAATGAATATTATTGCATATTTTGATTATAAGATTGCGAAAAATGAATGTTTTATAGTATATTTCGTAAATAATATTTATAATATAATATTAACCCTTCAACGCCTGATGTGTCCATGTGGTAACACAACAAAATCTATAAGTCAGACGTAAAGAACGTCTGTGGTTATATTTTTATTATCTATTCATAGCAATTGATTCTCCGTATGTTTATCGATTTTACTAGTAGTGTGGTTACCATCTAACGACAGTTCAGAATATTTATAATGTAATTTATAATTTATAATATTTACAATGTGTAATAAGTGCGATGTTGAACTTTGTGTTGATTGTTTTAAAACATTTCATACCAAATGATTTTTTTTATATTTTTTATATTTTACTTATATATTATAACTAAAAATACTTGACATTGTCATTAACTTAAACTAATATTTCTATATTAAACAAAATAACAGATGAGTAAAAAGTACTACAAAACTATGAATATTTTTGATTTATTACTTTATAAATATTATATAACTAAATTGCACCTCATTATAGCCTAGTGTGATCATATGGTAACATCTGTTTTCTCGGAAATTGCCTGAGGAAAAAATTTCAAAGCATTTTATTTGTGTTCTAGTAATCTACCAGACTCTAAAATTGCATGATATAAGTAAAAAAATTTTCAAAAAAAAATTTAGGCTTTTGAGGGTTAATATTTTGTATTTAATTCTAGCCCTGCTGATTAAAGTATAAAACTTGGTTTTTTTTTGCCAAACATAAATTTTATTTTAAATTATTTTATTTTATTTTTTAATTATAATATATTGAGATAAACAGCCAACCCCTGATGTATTTCAATAAATAAATATTTTTTTTGTAACTATGTTTTTGTGTTTATCTTATAAATATTTAAATGCATATTTTACAATTTTTTATTGCATACAAATCCTAGCCCTAGTAATAACTAATAAATATTAATTGATAAGTAACAGTTTGACTTTGAAAGCTCTTATATTTAAAATTTAGTTAAATTATTCATACAGTTTACAGCAAATACTCTTGTATGAACATTGGAAAAAATGAATTATTAAAACTTTTTATTGCAATACTATAATTGACAAAAAAAAAAAAATACATTACATTACATTCTATTTGACAATTAAAAATTATACATAGTATATTATTTAAATAATTTTAACATTCATGGATAAAACAGTTATTATTAATTATTATTTGTTTTAAACCCATAATGTTTAATTTAAATTGTTTAAAACATGTTTAAATTAAATGTTTAATCCTGGATTATTTATTATATAATCGGTTGTCCTTGTGAATTCCCATATTTATTTTTCACATGTTATATATTCCATTGTGTGATTTGTATTTACGTATTAATATTTGGAAAACACCCATAATCCTTTAGACATTGCTACTAATGCCTTTGTATAATGATTATATAAGAGTTATTCTAATATTATTTATGTAGTATGTGGTCCCCCATATATTGATACTTTTAAGGACCTTCATCTATGTATGTCCGTAACAGTTTATTTTTTTTTTACTAGTTATACTACACAGAGGCGTATTTAGACTTATTTCTAGGGGGGGGGGGGGGGGGGGTGACTCAATTTTTTTCTTTAATTTAGGCTCAAAACGTACTAGTAAAATTGTTGGTAATATTTTAATCAGATAAATCCTTAATTTTTGTGGTTTTTTTTTTTTTTAATCTATTACCAGATCTACTTAGAATCGACTTTTGTGTAGTTCTTTATAACACCTGTCTGTGTTTTGAAAGTTACATTTGTGTTTTATTTGATTTTTCTCTAAGTATGAACCCGACAAAATTCCATTTCAGTATTCACAGCCACGCGTTATTTGATTTTGTTATAAAATGATCCACATTAAAATAATTTGAAATGTGTATTTCACATATAATCAACGGATAATTATACGGATTCACTTTTCCGGATGGACCCTTTCCTAAAATACTCCCATGTTACTACAGAATTTTGGAAAAAAGTGTAAGCGTTTATTATATGTTATTGTTTTCACTATTACTTCAATACAACTTCAATGTTATGTTTTTCTAAAAAAATACTTTATTGTCCACAATAATAATTTATGACAGATGAGTAACTCAAAGTTACTTGAGGTTTAATTTATAGAACTTTAAAATCTGGCAGGCCAGGTTAAGACCGCAAAAAAAAATACCTATAGTTGTGTTAACTATGCTGATATATATATATTATATTTAGACATTTAATAAATTAGCGCTACAGTTCAATATTAAAGAAAAATATAATATTTACATTTTATGTTTAATGTGATAAAATTAAATACCTATAAACGCTAGTATGTTATGAAGTAATTTGAAAACGTAGGACAGGCAAGTTAAAAAAAAGTGTGCTGGTTAGATATGTCAGTGTACCTATTTTATAAGGTTTTTAAGATTTTAAATTCTTATGTAAAGAAATAATACGAATGATGATTTAATAAATGCATTTATGGTATCATATATATTGGCACAGTGTAAAATTAACTGTCAATAATTCTTATTAAAATTTGTGAAATTATTTTATTTTTATTTTTTTTAGGTATGGATAGTCCAAAAACACCTACACAAGCAACATTTGATGACAGCTTTGATGATTATGATTCAGATGAAATGGAAAGTCCAAAATTTCCACATCTTATACCCATATACAATAGAAGGGATGCTGATTATGATTTGAAAGATGTACGAATTGGTTGGGACGATGGATGTGGCTGTGTATTTTATGAAGATGATGATTATGGTAAAAATAATTAAATTATTTTACACAAAATATCCTTCATATGTTTTTAAAACTTCATAATTTGAAAACAGGGAGAATTTAAAAATTTGTTTCCAAAAAAAAAAATTTTATTATTATAGAAATGATCTTTATCCTATCATTGGTACTCATGGCACACCTTTCACACAGTTTGTATTTCGAATGTTGTTTGTACAGTTATTATTGAATACTATGAATACCTTCGAATAGCATGTCTATAAATATTAACAAAAATAAATTATGTAGCTATTTTTGATTCCTTATTATTTATTGTTTGAAAAAGTCAAAGGTACAGATTAAGTAAGCTTCACACTAACACTGCACTAACCGCATAATATTTATACCACTATTACAATCAATTATGTACTTGAGTTTCTATTTTTTTAAAATTATTTACATAATTGTATGTTCTGAAGTTTATCGAGCAAATAATAATGCTTTAATATAGGGCGGTCTGACCTTTTGTAATTAGCAAGCCAATTTACACTTTCATAAAAACACTAAGGGCTGCTGTCGCCAAAAAATTATATTATTATCCAGTAAGACTTGCAATTAATAATCGCTACTTAATAATGATTATAATAATAAAAATTAATCCCACAATCTTCCACCAAAAGAAATCAAATTCGCTGTAGCTACTATAAAAACACAACACCTACATACATAATTAGTGAGTTGAATTCAATTATGATTTTGGACATTAATCATTGCGTGTATACCTACATTTTGTAGTAAAATACATTAAATTTATACAATCATACAACTATTTTGTTACAATATTATTGTGACTTTTTTTTTTGAATATGTCTTTTATAGGGGAGGGCAAAAAAAGGGCTGTGGGTTATACTACCCTGTTTTAAAATGGAAAGTATGAGTAAGGTCTTCACAGTGTACTAATTGTATTACAAATTATATGTTTATCAATGATGGGTTATATACCTAATTATGTTTTAAATTATTTATCTTCAGCTATTTTTTGTTTTACCTAATTAAAATACAATAATAATATATTTTTGACATCTGTATACTAATGATTAATTTGTTATATATTATTTTATGGAATAGATACTTATAGAAATGGTAAGAGACTGAAAAGGAGTAAAAGAGGAAGATTATTTACAGATCATCGCCACCGCTCTTTGTATGGTCGAAATAAAATTTCTAATAATTCTCCTTCTCCTGTTAACAACTCAACTGCAAATAATGCTGCTATTCAAGCAGAGTTGAATGATTATCTTGGATGTATATTAAATTGTCTCAGTAAGTAATGTATAATAATTGTCATCAGTTCTGGAAAAAAAATATGTTATGCATTTTATTGTATTTTCAAAGTATAAAAAACATGACAATTTAAAAATATTCCTTACTATGTGTCATACTCAACATAGTGTTTATTCTTTTGTATTGGATTTTGATATTCTTTATAGTGCTATTAGTATAATATTTAATATTAATTGATTTAATAATTAATGATAGACAGTTTCAAAATTAAAAAATTTAAAAATATTACCTATATTTGTAAAGCACAACTGGTTTCGAATTTAAATAATTCATCGTTAGGTTTATACAAAGTCAATAAAATCAATATTTTTTTTGATTTTATACACCTGATAATAAATTTATAATTTGAAACCGGTCATTCTTTATAAATATAATAATACTTTAGACATTTATTTACAGCAATTATGTTTATTTATTTATTTTTATAAACTATTTGTTTATTTATTTATGTATTATGAAATATTTTTTAAATATATTAACTTTGTTAAAGTAATTATTTCAATCATTGATTTTCTAATACGCAAATATGCCATCCTATTATTAATATTGGTAGTGGCTACATGAAACTATGGACACAGCCCCTAGTTTCACTAAAATCACTTTCAACTTTCAAAAAAGATTTTCAGTACATTTCTAATAATAGTTCTTGTTTGTATTGTTGAAAATCTGTTTCAATCAAGTTGGATACAAAAAATTATTGTGATGTCTAGTTGCTGTGTCCACTTAGCCGCTATAAATTTTAACAATAGGATGGCATATCTGTATACTATAAAATTAGTAGTTTTATGTATATAAAATAGTTGATGCACATATTTTTTAATTTATTTGAAATCTTTTATAAATTAATTTATAACAATTTTAACGGTTTTAAAAATATTACGCTAATAAATATTTAACAATAATATTTTTATTTTAGGTGCCAAAAAAAGAAATCGACAGTTATTAAAAGCAAAAAATGAAGCTAATTCCTCTGCAAATAGTTCAATAGAAAATAATAATGTTAAAAGTTTATTGGATGATTCTGCTGATGATGAATTGATGTTGTTGTGCACACAAGATGTAGAAAGAACAATTGCTAATGATTCTACAAATTGTGAAAATGTAATAAAATCAGGTCTCTCAATTGTAGGCATTAGTCCACTAAAAGATACCAACGATAATACAAATAATAATGTATATCACCATGTTTCCAAAAAATTTAAACCTATTTATAATGAACATTTTGATGGTAAAAAAAATGAAAATATACAATCGCAGTGTCATAAAATTACATCAAATATGGACAAAAATGTACAAAATAACAATGCTAAAAATGATAACAAAGATGATTTAATATCATTGTTCAGCGACTCGTTAACTAATGATGACGACTTGTTTTCATCTATTGATTTATCAGAAATTGAGCAACAAATATCATCTGATAATAAAACAATTTTGGCATCAACCACACAGAAATGTATTAAACAGCCTAACATCCATATTAGGAAGCAGAATGAAAATAAACAAGGTATATATTATTTTATTATTTCGATAATATACATATTTTAAATTTTAACATAGTTATTAAAGAGTTAATGAGAACTCTAGTATTGTGTTTTAAATTAACTAATTTAATTAAACATATTTTTAATACCTTTATTTCTGTCATACTTAATTATTAACAAATATGTAATAGTTTAATGATTAGGTACTACTTTGGTGTAATTTTACTGATAGATCAACTGTATATTAACTGAAGATAATTTTATGAAACTTTAAATTAATTTTACTATTTTGTAGGTAAATATTTTAAGTATGTTTTTATGTTGTAAATTGTGATTTTATTCTTGAATAATCAAATTAATTGCTAATTTAATTTGTAGTATTTTGTGATAAGTATAATAATAAATAATATGATAAACCTAAATAAAATAAATTATCATAATTTTCCTGCGACAAATCTTCTAAAATATGTATTCATTAAATAAATAGTTTTGTGTGCTAAGTTTTGATTTTATAATTTGTATTGATTTTAGCTTGTACATCTACCATCACCAGTAACTCTAGTTCAGTACTTTGGCGTAGATCTACTTCATCATCATCTATTGTAAATGCACAGTCACAAAATAAAATATGTGATGTTCCTGAAACACAAATTAATCCTAGGTAATTACATAGTATAATATAGTTTTCAAATTATTATTTTTTTTTTTATTATTATAAACATTTTATTTATACATGTTTATTTTATGACTAGTGGTTCTACTAAAACTACAGTAACAAGATATTGTACACCTGCAGAAATTGAAGAAAAACGAAATCGTGCTCGTCGTACACTTTTGCTTAAATTTAAATCAAAAAATAAGACTATATCCTAATGTTTATTGGTATTCAAAATTTGCTTCAAATTGGTTATTTATCTATTTTAAAGTTAATACATTAATTAAACAAATATTACATTTATGAATAATATTTTTTATTCATTATATTCGTATAAATATTTTAATTTATGTACGTGTAAATTAAACTTGAGTCCTCTATAATTTACTAAAATTTCATGAATTCCAAACTAAAAATATATTATATTAATATCAATTTAATTTAATAAAAACCATAAATCATAGATATTTCGTGAAATTTCAAGTTTCATATTTGTACCATGCATATTTTTTACAACAATATAAATTTAAGTTCATCATGTGTATTTTTCTTTATTTATTTACTCATCAAATTTGATTGAAAGAAATTTGTTGTTATTGAGTAATTTTTTTATCAACTAACAAACTTATTTAAAATCCAGAACACTTGAACTTCATTAATTATGAAATATAAGTGAATTAAGTTGAATCTTTTATATAAATAATAAGTGTACCCATTAATTTTGTTAAATAAGCATTTGTTGTTTGAAGGTATTTTATCTTTTTCATTTTTTAAAAATAATTTATATAATAAAAACAATTTTATACTTGTGAAACTTGATAAGTAACTTTATGAAGCAACAAAATAGTTTTTATGTTGACAATTATTAGTAAACTACTAAATTATTGATTTTAAATTGAAAATAATGAGTAATCATTAATCAATCATTTTTATATTAAACAAGATGTTTTTTTATTATTCTTATTGTACCAATTTTAGTTGATTAAGCAAAAAAAAAATAAAAATAAATATGTTGATTGTATTTAAATTTGAAAATTTTATAATAATCTAACAATAGCCTTAGTGATTGGTATGGTTGTTTAAACAAGTACTGTTAAATTATAATTAATAAACAGTAGTTTACTCTTATAGTTAAAATTTTCTTATAGTTCATAAAATTATTCTCAGTTTTGTAATTCATATAAGGTATATCTCATTTATTAGTTATACTGATCTACATGCATATCTCATGTATTAGTTTTCATGTAAAACAGTGGTTCCCAATTGATAGTCTGCTGTTATGTAGTACTATAGTAATTTTTTATTTTATTTGATTAAATTTATTACATTTTATGACGTTTGAAATATAGTGTATTTTTGAACTACTGGGACTTTTTTGTATAACATAAATATACATGGATAAGCTTTTTCTATCCATTGTTTAATGAAAAACAAATATCGTAATAAGCTAAATAATGAAAATAATTTATGAGTGAAAATATTAAGCATGCAGTCAAACTTGGACGAGATTACAAACAAAAAAGAAAGAATAAATAAATATGTAGCGTGGAGTATTATTATTATTACCTTAAAAAAGAAAGGTTTCACTTGTTTCATAAAGTTTGAAAATCATTGCAATAACTAATTTAAGTAATTCATAATTAAAAGGTAAATGGTACATAACTTAAAAGGTAATTGCAATAATGTATGTTAAGTCAAGTATTAAATTAAATAAATTTCTTTAATGGTGTAGCTATTATGGGGCAAAGTGAACAATACTCCGGGACTCTGAAAAATTCTGAAACTACTTAATAAATCGATATATATATTATAAATAAATACATTTTCTTATATGAAAGAATGTAAAAAATATAAATTTGCTTTGATAGATACGTTATAATAAATCTAATAATTTTAATTAATTAATAACACTAATAATATAATTACATAATTGTAGTTTTCATATTAATTAACTGGATTTTCTTTTCACTTTGTATATTTATTCATTATCTGCTTATTATTTATTTATAGATTCATAATAATTATTTATATTTGACGGAAAAATATTAAAATGTATATTTTTGGGCTTCCCGGATTACAGTTTGAGAACCGCTCATTTAGATATTTTAAATTAATAATTATTGACTGTCGAAATGTTTCATACGATTATTGGATTTCAATAGTTATCAAAATAATATATATAAATAAAAGTACCTTATAACTAATATAACTTACAAAATACGAATGTATGTAAGTGAAACGACCCGTGCATTTTTTAAAGAATTTTCTCGGAGTGATGAACAATTTTTTTTTATAGTCTATAACAATAATATGATAATAGGATTTCACATTAACTCCGCATAATTATTAAAAATAAATCTTAATGCTTGTAAAAAATGTAAACAGCAATAATATGACAATATATTGTATAATATACATATTTATCTATCGTACTTTCATTAATAATTGTTTAGATAATTAAAAAAAAAATCTTTTAACAATTGAATGTTTCTAATTTGCTATCGACTAGGTGACAAAATATATTCAATATAAATTTATGTTGCTTAGTTAACTAGTTTATAAATGCACTGGAAACGACATAAATAATTATATACTTTATATGTAGGCATATGCAGACCTATGTTATAGGAGGTCCCTACAAAACTTTTGGTGGAATAAAATAATTAAAAAAAAATTTATTTTGTTTTTATTGGGACGTATTAGTGTAGGTACTATCATTGTATTAAGTTCTTTTTTTGTTCAAATTTTAAATACTAATAATATTTTAAAACTATATTATAATTTTCAATAGATTATTACGGTTTTATTTTATACTAATATCACAAATAATTCTTTTTTAATCAAGTAATAAATCAATTAAATTAATAGAAATATCTATTATTTGCATATAACTAGTTAAATTATTGAGGTATAAAGACAGTGATCCAAATTTCATCTTGCACTTATTAAGTACCTACTCACTCAGAGTATTCGTTGTATGTTAATTACAAAATAATTAAAATGATATTAATTCAATTAATTTTATTAACATGATATGATGTTAGTACACTGGACGTACTGATGTACACGAATAAACCAGATGGTTAGGTCAAAACTTTCAGTAAAGAAATCTCAACATATAGGTAGATAGGTATATATTATATAATTTTTATTTTTAATGATTTTAACTTCTCAGATAAAATAACTTAAAAATTAAAGCACTACATGCATACAGTATAATTGCATTGACATTTTAGACTGAAACGATAAATATAATACAACATCAGCATTAAAAATGAAATTAATATATTTATACATATGTGATAAAAGTAGTTTCATTATAAAATAATAAATAATAAAATAAAAAAATAAAATTATTAAATGGTTAATACTCATAAATTAATAAACAAATAGTTTATTTATTTATTTAATTATTTCTATATACGAACTATTTGTTAATTTATTTATAGATAAAGAGTCTATTTTGAATTGTATATGGTAATGATAAAAATAATGTAAAACAATTTATTTATTTTCATTGTAATAATATTACATATCTAAGTATCTGCTATTATAATTACCTATTGACCGTTGAATTTAGAACATAGATACGCAATTATATTGTAAAAATTGGTAACAGCTACATGGACGTATCCACTCAACGTATTTATGGTTATCTGCAATCATCTTGATGAAAAACAAATTTTCAACAATAGCAGTAGAAGTACCTAATTATTAATAACCGAACAAAAATTCTTACCTCAATTCATTTCTTACTATGTACGATACGAATGAAAAATTAAACACACTTCAATAGATATATTTTACGTGTAATCTTTGTGAGAAATATTCATTAAATAAATTATAATACTCAAAAAGGACTAGGTACTTTGGAAGAGGAAATAAGCAACAAATAAAATAAAATTGTAAAGAAAATAAGGGAATAGCCGATGTTGTGATGTATTAAGTAGAATCAGAAACTTTCAAAAACTAGACAAAAAACAACTTAAAAAGGCAAATTTGTATGACTTTTTTCATTAATTATGTTAGCGCAGTCTATTATATTGTCCATACCTAATATTCAAAAATTATTGATCAAAATAAAAAAACTAAAAATAAAAAAATGTAATTTCAAGCTTAATGATAGTAAGCCTACTTAAAACAATAGCTTTAAAGTCAATAGAACATCACTGATGAAACTGCATGTACGTCCATATTTAATCGATTTTTTCTATAAGTAATGAAATATTACCTGGGTCATAGCGAGAGGTGCCTATGTCTCGGGTGAAATTCCTGAGGGCGCAAAAATGAAAAATTTGCAATTAATGTTAAAAATTACAGCAGTCAATGTTGTATATTTTATTTACAATAACTTCAACGTCCTTTATATTAATTGAAACAATTTTTGAAAATAATATCTTATTATTATAATACATATTTTTAAATTAAAAATACATAATGGCGCATTTTGAAGTTTCACCCGAGCGCAATGTTTGGTTGCTCCGGCATTGAAATGGTACCATTCATTACACAATATGCAACATATTATGGGCGATTATAATTTATAATATTTAAATAAATTCAACTTAAACTTATCTATTATATAAAAATAAGTCCGGTTTTCCTCCCTGACGCTATAACTCCAGAACGCACGAACCGATTTCCACGGTTTTGCATTCGTTGGAAAGGTCTTGGGCTCCGTGAGGTTTATAGCAAAGAAAATTCTGGAAAATTCAGGAAAAATTCAACAGAAAAGTGGGGAAATCGTTTTACATAGCATGTACTTCAAACCAATAGCAACGGTGCGTGATAAAGTGTGTGATAGATAGTCATTATTCTCTGCTCAGTTAATTTCATTTAAGCTCAGTGTAAATTATGTGGATCGTGCATTTGAAGTTAAATTCAACACTCTGTCCATAGTCCAAAATGCCTAGAGAACGACGTGCGAACATCGGCCGCCGCACAAGACATGCAAGCCAGCAACAAGTCTATTCAAGGAACTTAAGAGAAGAAAGAAAAAATATAATAAGAGAAAATGACCGATTGAGACATCGCGTGAGCACACGAAGATCATTGGCATCATACAATCGCTTGGCATTCCAATATGATCCCACTGCGAACTACAGTGATGATGAAAATTTGGATATTGGACGAATGACGACTATATGCCGATATTGCAATGCGGTAAAGTTCAAAAGAGAAACGGTTGGATTGTGCTGCGCAAGTGGAAAAGTCAAACTGGATCCATTACTTACACCACCACAGCCACTGAAAACATTGTTTGATGGAAGTGATCCCGATTCCAGCCATTTTCTTCA